AACTGTGTAATCCTAAAACCACACAGCCTTATGTCCCAGTCCCAAACTACCTAGTTCCCACCCAGGCTCCTCTTTATAAAGGGGTCTGGAGTTTTGCTAAAAGTTTTGGGAAAAACGGGGTGGGGAGAGCACACATCTACAATAAAAAGCAGGAAGATAGAAGGTCTGGGTTATGGGTGGCAGCCAACCCTCGGGCCAGGACAGGGGTGCAGGGTGGAATCCTGCAGCAGGTTCAGAGGGCCAGAAGCATGAGGCACGTCCAGGGGCAACGCCAGGGAGACGAGATTCGAGCCAACACACTCCAAAACAGCGAAATTCGAAGGCACCCTCCAGGAGCACAGTTTGAAGGACAAGCTCCAGAAAGTCACATCGGAGAGCAAGGCGAGGTCAGGGAGGGCGGGCGCCTCGTCAGGGGCAGGCTGGAGACGGGGATGGAAAGCAGTGCCAGAGCCTAGGCTTTAAATCCCTGCAGTAGTGCCACTGTGGCTAATTTTCAAAAATAATTTTTATTGTGCAGCTCGGAAAAGGGTTAGCAAACATGCTGCTGGGGCACTTTGCAGTCCTCAAGACTACGACTGCGAGCTGCAGGGACCTCGTCGCGCCCGGAGCGCCGGCGCAGCCCTCGCGCGCTCGCCACAAGACGGGGCGGGGCGGGCGCCTCTTCGGCCGGCCTCGCGATTGGCCGCGCCGCGCCCCGCCCCCCGAAAGTGCGCGCCCGGCAGCCTCCGCGGCGGCGCTCAGCTGGACTGGCGCGGGAGTTTCGAAACTGCTCGGCGGGGCGGCCCGAGGACCTGCGGCCAGATGGAGCGGCTCGTGGGCGGCCGCCGTGAGTTCCGGGCCGGGCCGGGCGCGCAAGCCCGGGAGGCGGGAGGGGGCCCCCGGGCGCGCCTCGCGCAAGGAAAGGGTCGAGGCGCCCCGCTGCTGCTGCGGCTCGCTCTGCGCCTGCCTGCCTGCCTGCCTGCCTGCGGCGAGGTGGGCGCGGGGGGATTCGGCCGCCGGCCCGGAACGTGCAGGAGCCGCTGCACCGTCGGGCCGGTCTTCCCTGGGCGGCCGCGTGCCCACGGGACGGCCGGGGGCGCAGGCCGTGCGGCCGCGGGGAAGCCTCTGTGGGATGGGCGGCGAGCCGACCGCGGCGCGCGCAGCACAGCGCCGGACGAAGCCGGGCAGCCCCGCGCGCCTGCAAGCCAGGCGGGGCCGGGGGGCGCCGGCTTGCTTGCCCCGGGACGAGGCGGCTCCTCGGCGGGGCCGCGGCGGAGCCCGGGCTCGGAATCGCGGGCTTGCGGAAATGCCCGTCCCCTCGGGAGGCCGCTTCGGCGGCCGAGGGGCGAACCGCGGGGGCGTCCTGCTGCCTTCCTGCCCCGCGGCAGCTTCCCCGGCGTCCCGCGGGCTCGCTGCCCCTCCCAGCCCAGCGGCAGCAAGCGGGCTGCCTGCAAACGGCCTTCCCCTTGGAGCAGCACGGCGGGGGCCGGGAAGATCCTGCAGCCCGCTGTTTACTTGAGGCCGAGGAGACGGTTGGGTCCTGGAGAGCCGCCTGCCTCTCCTGGCGGCTGGCCCGGAGCGTGTGAGTCAGCGCCTGGGCTGCGGCCGCTTGGCTCCCGGCCGCGCCTGCTCTAGGCGCAGACGGCGGGGAGGGAGGCGCAGCCGCTGGACTGGTCGGCCTGCGGGGAGCCCCTGGTCCCAGGTCCGCTCCCTGCACTCCGAGATTCCCCTTTGCTTTCCCTGCCTGGCCTACCTCTTCGGGTTGTAGTGCAGAGAAGCCGGACAGGTGTAGGGGTCTTAAACATGCCCTTGAGCTCCTTGGAGGAAGATGGAATTAAAAGCAAGGGTAAATGGAATTATACTCTCCTTGGACTCGGAAACCATTTTCTCTAGAGTAAAAAGTTTGTTTTTTGTTGTTTATTTATTTACTTACTTATTATACCACCCAGTAGCCTAAGCTGTCTGGGGAGTTAGCAAAATCAAAATGAAATAAAGGCTAAAAAGTCAATTATTAATTTGCAATAATAAACCATAATCACAATGTTTATGATATAGCATAGAAGCATAGCAGCTGTACAGAATAAAAGGGAATACATAAAAACAAAGTTTAAAAGTTAAACTTTTAAAATGGTTAAAACAGTTGGAGCAAATTACTACAAGAATCAGTCTGCAAGCTAATGCAGACCTGAAGAAAATGCAGTGATTAATAGAAGCCAACATGAATTTAGCAACAATAAATCTCGTCAGACTAATTTAATCTCATTTTTTGACTGGGTAACCTCCAAAACAGACAGAGGGAACACTGGTCTACCCTTATTTTAGCAAAGCTTTTAACAGAGTGGCCCACAACATTCTGATAAGAAAATTAGCAAAAAGTGGACTAGATAGAAAAACTATTAGGTGGATCCAAAATTGGTGCTGAATTGGACACAAAGAGCACTCATCAATGGCACCTTCTCAAACTGGAGGGAGGAAACTAGTGGGGTGCCGCAGGGTTCAGTCCTGGGTCCAGTGCTCTCCAACATTTTATGAATGATTTAGATGAGGAAATTGAAGGAATGATAATCAAATTTGCAGATGACACAAAAGTGGGTGGAATAGCAAACACCCGATAAGGCAGAATGAAAATCCAGGGCGATCTTGATAAACTGGAACAATGGGCTGAAAGCAACAGAATGAGATTCAGTGAGGACAAGCGCCAAGTCCTCCACCTAGGAAAAAGAAACCAAAGGCATTGGTACAATATGGGGAATATGTAACTCAAAAGAACTGAAAAAATAAAAGACCTCATAATTATGGACAACAGGAGAAACATGAGCCAACAATGCGATGCAGCTGCCACAAGGGCAAATGCTATTTTAGGATGCATTAACAGAAGTTACTTCCAAATCACGAGAACTAGTAGTTCCTCTATACTCCTCACTAGTCAGACCTCATCTGGGATACTGTGTCCAGTTCTGGGCACCAAGATTTAAGAAAAATGCAGGAAAATTAGAAAGGGTCCTGCAGAGGGTGACAAAAATGATCCAGGGTTTGGAAGCACTGCCCCATGAGCAGAGTCTGAGAACTGGGCATGTTCAGCCTGGAGAAGAGAAGACTGAGGGGGGACATGATATCCCTCTATAAGGACCTCAAAGGCTGCCACAAAGAGGAAGGCCAAGCTCTCTCCTCGCTGATGCCAGAGTGTAGGACACAGAGCAATCAGTCCAAGCTGCAACAGCCCAGGTTCAGGCTGGACATCAGGAAGAGCTTCTTCACTGTCAGGGCAATATGCCAGTGGAAGCAGCTGCCTGGAGAGGCGGGGGGCTCCCCACCCTAGAGACATTCAAGAAGAACCTGGGCAGCCCTCTGAGTGGGATGGTGTGACCTGGTGTCCTGCAACACCAGGGCAGGAAGGTGGACCAGATGGCCTCCTGGCCCCCTTCGCCTCTGCTCTGCTATGGTTCTGTGAAACACATAGTCTGGCACATGGCCCATGTCATGGGCATTCATTTGACCACGTGCAGATTTCTTGGCAGTGTGCATGGTCTGAGGGTGTTGATCCTTTGCTGAGCATCTGGTCACCAGATTCTCAGGTTCTAAAAGAGCTAAGTTGGGGGTTGTACCTGGAGACCTCTTGCTGAGGTGAAGTGCTTTGCCAAAGGTGGCGGCATTCCCGATGCCCCCACACCAGGAATTCTCAGCAGGAGACCAGAGTCCCTGATGCGCTCGGTGCCAATCCTGTTTCACACCGGAATACTGTCATGCCTGGTGCATTGGTTGAGTATTATCCATGCAATTGGGGTCTTTCGGAAGGGAACTTAGAATAAAACTGTCTAGATTGCACTGCCCCCATGTGAATCCAAGAGAGTTGGAATACGGTGTACAGTTCCGGTTACCCCACCTCAAGGAGGATCCTGCAGAGTTGGCAAAGGTGCAGAAACGAGCAGCCAAGCTGGTCCAGGTGCCACAGGAGCTCACCAGGAGGGGCACTTGCAATGCCTGGGACTGCTCAGCTTGGCAGAGGGGCCAGTAAGAGGAAGTGTGGCAGAGGGGCCCGAAGTTCTGCCTCATGTGAGGCAGGGGCTGGTCCCAGAGAGGTCTTCCCGTGAAGCTGAATGAGACGGTCGGGACAGGTGGCCTGTTCACATGGCGCGCACACGAACCATGAAGTTTGTGCTGCAAGATGTGGTGGCGGCCAACAGTGTGGATGGCTTGTGGGGGGGGGGCTTAGAGAAATTCACGGAGGAGCTCGTGCATGGCTGCTAGTCCAGGACCAGAGGTTTCAGTTCCAGGTGGCAGGAAGGGAAGTGGGAGTTTGCCCCCCGCCCCCCGCCCTGTTCTTCCTCATCCTTTTCCAGCATGAAAAGGACTCTGGCTGCCTTCCATTGCAGGCAGGGACTGGCAGCAGCAAGAGGTGCCCTGCCAAAGGCAGCTGCTGCTTCTGAGCTCTTAGTGGCCAGAGGAGAGTTCCCCTGATTGGGAACCCAAATGCCATGTTTTAAAGCCAAGCTTCTGGCCCAGGGAAAGGAAAGGCTGCATGTCTCGCAGACGCTGGGGTTTTCTGCGAGCGCTGCACCTCCACCTGCTCAGTGCAGGCAGAGATGGCTGCTGGGTCCTTGCTGGAGCCGAAGCGGGTGAAGGCAGCCGTGGGCACGCTCCACGCTGGTGGCAGAAGGAGCACCGTGGGCTCCAGGCTCCCGGGCTGCTCCAGGCTCCTGGGCACCAAGTGCGCCCAGAGACGTCGGCAGAGCTGTGATGATCTTGGGCTTTCGTGGCCGTCCGAGGGTCCGCCCCACCCCGGCCCAGGAGCAGCCACGCATAATGCACGTGACTGTTGCCCACTCTGGGAGGGACAGGCCGAGCGTGGTCCCCCCAAGGAAAGCCACCAGAAAGCCCTCCAGATCCCCATCTCCCCCGTCGTAGCCCCATGTAAATGCGAAAGGCCCTGAAAGAAGTGGGTGATCTGGGCTTCAGCGTCTCTGGTTCAGCAGTGTGCCCTGTCTGAGTGGCTCTGCTTTTTGACCTCCCCAGACGAGCGCCTCACAGCGGACGAAATGGATGAGCACAGGCGCCAGAACGTCGCCTATCAGTACCTTTGCCATCTGGAGGAAGCCAAGCGGTGAGACAGTCGCTGCGCTTTGAGAATTCAGGCGTGCTGATGGGGGGGGGGGGCGCTTCCCAGGCCCCCCTGCTTCGAAGGCGCATGGGTTGGGACTGCAAGGCATAAGGCTCCGGCTTGCTCCTTGCTCGGATGGCAGGGCTGTTCTCCTCCCCTGCCTTGGTGGAAGGGCAGCAGCCCAGGCTGCAGCCACTCTGCAGAGAACGGGCCATGCCAGGAGATGGCAGCTTGCCGGTGGCTGTGGGCAGCCCAATTCTGCTGGATTTCCATGCCAGGCCACGGGAGCTGTGCAGAGCCCGTCCCTGCGCTGAACACCGAAAGGAGGGCTGGGTTTGCTCAGCTGCGGCCGCCTCTGGGTGGGGCCCGTGGGAGCAACTGAGTGGTACATGCCGCGCCTGTTCATGGTAAACCAGGCCTCACGGCGGCCCCCGCTTGCCTGATGTCCCAGAGTTGCCTTCAGAGTGGCTGCACGGGTCTCGCGCGTTGTTCTGGCGAGATCCCTCTTTAAAGGAGGGAGCCTCTTTCACCCAGGGGTCCCAGTCTGTTTTGGAGGAACTCTCAGCTACTGCGGGGTGGTGGCAAAGGCCCCCAAACGCTGGCCTGCCGCAGACCCCACTGCCGGCGGCTGAGCCTTTGCAAAGCTAGAGCTTTATCGTTTGGAGAAAGGCCGCCAAGGGGGAGCCCAGCAGGCGGCCCTCCCCCGCCGGCTGCCCTGCAGGTGTGCTGGACTACATGGCTCATCCTCCACCAGCTGCTGGTGGTAGGTGCTGGGAGCTGCAGTTTGACACATCAGGCCGGGAAAGGTTGTGACGAGAGTCTGGGAGCGATGGGAGTTGTCTGGCCTCCCTCTCCCAGAACAGGAGGCCTCTGGGCCAGGCAGAGACAGCGATGGGGCGAGGCGAGGCGAAGCAAGGCAGGCCGAAGAGGCTGAAGCGCCTCCCTCCGCAGTGCGCACTTAGTGCCCGGCGCTGCCTGGCCCAGGATGAGGCGGGCCTCTCCCGAGAGTCCTTAACGGGGATTAGGCAATGTCAGGAGAGGTGGGACCCAGTGGGGCCTGCGTGGGTCCAGGTGACCAACCGCTGACAGCCGGGGACTGAGAGGGGCTCGAGCGAGTGGCAGTGGTGCCATCCCCTCACTGCCCAGTGTGCGGCTCGTGGCCTTCCTCGGTCCCCCAGGTTGGCACCCGAGGCCCACCCAGCGCCGGGCTGGGAGAGGCTTTGATGGGGCTGCCGAGCAGCGCTTGTGCTGCTGCTCCGAAGCTCTGGAAGGGGCTCCCCTGAGGCTGCTGGAAGAGCCCGGGCGATCCTGAACGAGCCTGAGGAGCCGACTCTGCCCCCTTGTCTCTGCACGCACCAGCTGGATGGAGGCCTGCCTGCAGGAGGGCCTGGCCCCACCAACCGAACTGGAGGAGAGTCTGCGGAACGGCGTCATCCTGGCCAGGCTCGGCCACTTCTTTGCCCCAGAGGTGTGTCCCCTGAGGAAGATCTACGACCTCGATCAGGCCTATTTTCGGGTGAGTGCCTTGGGCAGGCTTCCTGTCCAGCCATGCGGCCTCCAGGTGCGTTCCCGGGGCTGCCTTGTCTGCCAGCCTGGCTGGAGCTGCAGCCCCAACATGCTGAGGGGGCCTGGGGGGCTGAGGCTGGTGCTGGGCATGCAGCGTGTCCCCTGCGCTTGCCGCCGCTCGCGCACACCCAGAAGGCTCCCGGTTTGGTTCCAGCGGCATCGGCCGTTAGGAGGGCTGCAGGGAGCCGGGCCGGGAAGAGGCAGGGCTGGCCAGTGGAGGAGGGGCCAGTGCTGCCAGGCAGCTCCCTCCCTCAGGAAGCCCCCTCGTCCCACGGCTGTGCGTGCAGGAGAATCCAGTGCGGTCCCCGGCAGCGTTCCCCAGCCAAGGAGAGCTTGCACGGCAACGCCAGGAAAGCGCCTCCCCTGAGGCGGGCGCCTGGCGGAGGAGACTGGCCGGGCTGAGTGAGCCTGCAGCAAGCAGGTGTCGTGAGCCAGGTGTCCCCTGCCAAGCAAGGCAGCGCTTCATGTATGAGTCTTTCTCTGCATTCACAGGTCTCTGAGCATACACAAGAAGTGCTGACTCCTCCCTGCCCCCCTTGACCCAAAGGTTTGCTTATGAACCCTTCCCAGCTGGTCTCTGGCAGGAGGGGTGCTGTGGATCGGGGCACTTGGGTCCAGCCTTGGCTGTGACGATGGGCCCTTGGGTCCACGTCGTCGGGAGGCACGTTTTCTCCATCTGAGACTACCCAGTTCCAGATCTGCCCCCTCCTGCCCTTCGCCGGCCTCGTTCCCACAGGCTGGGCCCCGTGGCTGTCCTTGAGCTCCTTTCATCCAGGGCAGGCTCGGACGGGGGCAGTGGGCGGTGGGTGGGGGACACTCAGGTTACAGCACTTCCATTATCGGGGGGTGGGCTCTGGGCCCGGTCTGGTTCAGCCCTGCCCGCATCCTCCGAGTCTGCGCTGTCAGTCCCACCAAAAGAGGCTGTCTCCTGTGCGCGCCTGGGAGTTTCATCCGAGCACGTGCGCACGCCGGTGTGCCTTGGCTGACCTGCGCTGCGATGGGCCGTTGCCGGCCGTGGAGGTGCTCTGGAGGCATCGGCCGGGAGGCTGCCGCCCAGGTCACGGGGCCGGGAGCAGCTGCTGCGCGCTGGCTGCTCGCCTGTTCGCAGCCCGGGTCAGAGGGGCACTGCTCCCCTTTGGCAGCCTGGGAGGGTTGGGCCCGCGTCGCTTGACAGGCCACTGCCAGCCCCGCCTGCTGCTCCCGGGAAGCCCTCTGCACTTCTGCCACGGAAGGCAATCGGCACGGGATGCGAGGGGGAGGGCCTTCCTGTGGCCCCCGCCCCTCTTGAATGGGTCGCCATCTGGTGCATCAGGACTGGTTGCCGCAAGGTTTGGGGCAGGCCCCGCCGGCTTGCGTGTTTCTCTGGCTATCTCCTGAGTATGTTTTCTTGGATTGTCCTCTGTTTTCAGCTGCAGTCGCTCTAAATAATAATAATAACATCTTATTGTAGGCTGTCCTGGGACAATTTTCGTATAGGATGGGGTAGAAATATTTCAAATAAAATAAAATAAATAAAGAGTAGTCCTGTCTGGGCCAGAAGCTTCCTTGTCAGGGTCTGCTGATTTCCCTTTTGCAGTTTTATCCTGATAAAACAGCCAGTGAAGTGAGGAACTGGGTGGCTCTTGCTCTACAAAGCTGCCTGGGAAGATTTGCAAAATAAACAGCCATCTGATTTTGACCGAGGGTCTGCGGTGTTTCCATTTTTGACCCTGGGAGCCAGGTCAAAATGTGTCATTGCCAGGATCCTGGCCTCCCGGTCAGACAGGGGCAACCCGCTAGCCTCTCCCTGCAGGAAGAGGTGACAGGGACTTGCATGCCCCCCTGCAGGGCACGTAGCCGCCGCAGCCCAGCAGCAGCCCTGGGGCCCCTGAGAAAGGCTTCTTCCTGCAGCCCCCACGGCCTGTTTGCCCCCCTCCTCCGGGCCGGGTTCGCAGGCGGGATGCCGTCGCCTGACAGACTGGGCTGGCTGCTCCTCCTCCAGTGCCGTTTTCGAGTGTGTTACCCTCTTTCTGCGGCTGCTGGCTCTTCTGGTTGTGATTTTGGTTTCATGCTGTTTAAAGCGTTTGGGGTGTCCGCCTTTGCACCTCGCCCTCCTTGTGCTGTCTCTGCTCGTGTGCTTGCAGGAGCAATGTTGGTAGGCATGGTCCCCGAGGGGGGTCCAGCGGGGGCTGGAGGGGCTGGGATGCTCCACCAGAGGCCCCGGCCTGCCTTCCAGGCCTGGCCGCTTCGAGGTGGGGGCTGGTCTTACTCACAGGGTGCCCTGCACAGCCGGATGTGGGGTCCTGGCGTGGACGTGACTGCCGTCCTCACTGAAGCTCTCCTTTGTTTCTGCTTTTAAGGCGCATGGGCTGCACTTCCGGCATACGGACAACATCAGCCGCTGGCGAGGTGCCATGAGCCGAGTAGGATTGCCCGCGGTAATGCCTCCACCCCCCCCCCCCGCTGTGCGTTGGCTTGGGAGGACTCCTTCCAAGGCTCTGATGCGGCCACTTTTTCTGCTCTCTGCAGATCTTTCATCCGGAGACGACGGATGTCTACGACAAGAAGAACATGCCCCGCCTGGTGTACTGCATCCACGCCCTGAGGTGAGAGGCGCTGGGAGCAGCGGGGCGGCCGTGTTCCCAGCCTTCCGCCCCCCAGGCGGCAGCGGAGAGCACAGGAGCGTCGGCCGTGCTGCTTCAGGCTGGAGGCTGGAGGGGGCAAAGTGGCCCAGCGAGCAGGAGCTGGCTGGGCCCAGGAGGGGACCTGCCTCCTTATTCACTAGCTTTCTGCTTGCAGGGGACGTTTTCACGTGGGGGATGCTTACCCATGGGGCCTGCAGGGCTTGGCCCATGAGCAGCTGAGCCACGGGCAAGCGCTGTGTGATGCCTGCACCCTGAACGGGGCCCTGGCTCTGCTGGGCTTCTGGGCAGGCGACTGAGCTGCTTGGTGCCCATCTCGACAAGGCTGCACCCGTTCCAAGAGGCTTCCTGGCGACATTTCCGGCACTTGCTGTTGCCAGTCTTTAGCTGTACCTTGTAAACAAAGCAGCTAAGACACGTGATCCAGACGGTTGACTCCATGGGTCTCCTCGGAGAGTTCCGAGGCTGTCACCGCCGCCTCTCCCCGCAAGCAATGCCGTTTCTGCCCCTCAACTTTTTGACAAGGTGACAAAGCCCTTTCCTGTGGGCAGCCGCGGTGTGGGCCACTCTGAGCAAACCTGTCAGCCCTTTCCTAGGCTGCTGCTACTCCGAAAGCGCCAAGAAGCGGTGCCATGATAAGGTTTTCTTAAAGGACTGCACAGCAAGCCCTGGGGAGGGAGCAGGGGGTGGGCTGCAGGGCAGGTCCATCTTTTTGCATCTCAGACTTTCCCCGCACTTTGGTGCACTTTGCCTCTGCAACTCTCCCAGGCCCCACTAGCTGATCCCAGAGAGGTCCCTGGCACAGAGTGCTTTTCTGAAAATCCGGAAATTATTGCCCTGCATAGTGTTTACTTGTGCTGCTAGATGCTATATATAAAAGTTATAAGATGTTCTTGAACGTTTTACTTATTAAACTATTTCTAAAGTGCCTTTATGGAAAAACCATTTTAACCAAAACATTAATAAAAATCACAGGCAAAGACATAGGGAAAACTTGCACAGCCTGGAAAACCACTGTGATTGTGGTGTGTGTTGGAATATCTGGTGCAGGAAAAAGATGTTTTCAAGGCAGCCCTGCAAACCGAGTCCACCGAATCTACAAGAATCTCCTCCCCCATGAACGCTGATCGAAGCTGTTTGTGGCATGTTGTCAACTGGGGCAGGGTGGCTGGGAAGGAGGACCCTCGTCCTCACCCAGGTTGTGAAGTTGCTGCTTGCCTTCCTGGAGGACACGGATGATTGCTTCACATGCCTGACTGAGGACCTGTGAGCATGTCCTCAAGAAATCCACAATGTTCTCTTGTTCTGAATGGCTTCCCTCCTAGTTTGTACCTGTCCAGGCTTGGGTTGGCTCCCCAGATCCAGGACTTGTATGGGAAAGTCAGCTTCACAGGTAAGGGTTTCTCTGAGGGAGACATGGGGGGTTCCCGTGTCGCTACATGGTGAGGTGAAGGAGGGTCACTTTGTGAGGATCAAGCCCCAGCATCTCCCCCCGAAGGGCGCTTGCGGGGCAGGTGTCTGTCTGACGGGAAGCCCTGCGCATGTTTGTTCAGGCTTATGTCCTGCTGGATTCGGTGCTCTTGGGGCCAAGCATGGCTCGCACCTGGGGCTGAAAGCCAGAAGAAAGATCTTGCTCTTGCCAAAACGAGTCCCGGTGTTACTTAGTTTGTTTCTATGCCTCCTTTCCGAAACCAGCCAAGGCCGTTTTCGGGTGTTCCAGCAGCCTTCTGCATTCAGCGCAGCTAGGTTGCTGGACCGAGTGTCTGGCCAGAGAGGTGCAGAAGGAATCGGGGCTGCCCCTGGCGGCTGTGCCAAGGGATGCCCAGGTAGACAGAGGCAGGTGCAGGTGGGCCCCCATCACTCAGCCAGGCACTGCCCTCCCAGTTAGCTCAGGATTTGCATCCAGAGCCAAAACCTGGATGATGGGCGCTTCCCTGCCAGCAGGCTGGCACTGCCAGCCAGGGCCTTTCAGGTGGCGAGTCTCCCTGCACTGGCCTGGGCAGTCCTTGGTTAGATGGCCACCTGGAAGGGGGGGAGATAGCCACTGGCCTGGCAGGAACCTCTGCCCGGAACTCCCTGCACAGTTGCTCTCCCCCACTTTCCCCTGGTCGTGAAAGCGCTGAAACAGCAGTACAACCGCTGCCCATGTTCAGAGTTAAAAGGCCCAGGGTAGGCAGCCTCCCAGGCACAGTCTCCTGTGTTCCCCTGTCACTTGTGCAGGTGTGTGCGCACGCAGCCAGAAATCCCCCACACAGCAAGGATGCCAGCAGATGCCAGAGGTGGGTGACCTTGGCCTCCGGGCCACCCTGAGGGGTTTGCGAAGGAGCAGGCCCCTGTGGTGCCACCCTTTGGGGATGGCCTCCCAACAGCGATTCACTCATCCCAGGGCACCATCCCTGATAGCCCCACAGCCGGCACCGGGCAGAGGTGCTCCCTGGTGCAGAAAGCTCTTTGGCAGTCTCATGAGGAAGAGCCCACTCCTTGTCCAGCTCTGGGCTGCCGATCCTGCCTCCTCCTCGCGGTTATCAGCAAGGCACGACCAGGCTGGCAAAAGCTGAAAAGTAAAGGCGGCCCAGGGTTTCCTCTTCTCGCAGTTTTCTCCTCTAATCATGAAGAACTAGGTAAAAGCCAGTTGAGAAATCTGGGATTATGGTGGGGGAAGCCGACTGAGCAGCAGCAAGAACGGTGCTGTGAGAGGGCCGAGAAAGCCTTCCAGGCCAATCCAGCACGGGATGCGGACACTCCGTGCAGTTTGCTCCAGCACCTCCGTCAGTCGATTTCAAGGGACTCTTCTGAGTTCAGGAGCAGGATCCCCCACCCACAGTCAAAAAGGGTGCCAAGCTGAGTGTGTGGTGGAAATGGAGCCAGCAGATGGTCACTGTCCAGTGACAAGCGAACTAAATCTCTCCAGAAGGATTTCCTTAGCAGCCCTGGGAAAACCAGCCTTTCTGTGACACTGTGCAGACACGAAGGAAGCCTCTGCAGTGTCATTCCCAGGTGCTGCTAGGCCTCTGCAGGTTAAGCAGAAGCTATCCAGAAGTGAGCAGCAGATGCAGGCAGTTTGACTCAAGGAAGTCAGATGCCCACCACCTTTTTCTTTTGTGAACTGTAAGAATACAGCAAGGCCTCACGTTGCAGTATGGAGCCGGCGATGTCATTGCTATGTTCAGTCATAAGTGCCTGCAAAAGAAACATCGTGGTGCATTTACTAATAGCATCCCTTGTGAATGCCTCCTGTACCTGGAGAAAAACTTACTTACCTTCTGTATGTGAACAGATTGACAGACTAAAGATGGCATGCAGGATAAATTTACAGCTATGGTAAGCACAGGGCAACACCACAGGATAGCAGGTTGACGACAATGCTGGGTGCACTGATTTTACAAAGGAATAATACCAGTTCAGGGTGCAGCAGCCCAGTGTATTTACTGGGTGTGAATGGTCCAGCACTGTGCCTCCCACCTTCCTATTTGATAAAGGTTTGACTTGGATATTCAAATACAATGATCATAGACGAGTGGAGGAGGAAAGGGCTGCAGAAGCCAATGGTCCAACCAGGGCAGAGCAGGACACCACCCCACCCCACTCGGAGCTGCCCAGTTTCTTGAATGCCTCCAGTGCAGGAGGGCCCCCACCTCTCTGGTCCCACTGGCGTATTGCCCTGACCGTGAGGGAGCTTTTCCTGACGTCCAACCTGAATCTGGGTTGTTGCAACTTGAACTGATTATTCTGTGTCCCGCACTCTGATATCCGCAAGAAGAGATCTTGACCCTCCTCCTTGTGACAGCCTTTGAGGTACTTGGAGAGGGATATCATGTCCCCCCTCAGTCTTCTCTTCTCAAGGCTGAACATGCCCAGTTCTCAGACTCTGCTCATGGGGCAGTGCTTCCAAACCCTGGATCATTTTTGTCACCTTCTGCAGGACCCTTTCTAATTTTCCTGCATTTTTCTTAAATCTTGGTGCCCAGAACTGAACACAGTATCCCAGGTGAGGTCTGACTCTGACTATAGAGGAACTACTAGTTCTCATGATTTGGAAGTAACTTCTGTTAATGCATCCTAAAATAGCATTTGCCCTTGTGGCAGCTGCATCGCATTGTTGGCTCATGTTTCTCCTGTTGTCCATAATTATGAGGTCTTTTATTTTTTCAGTTCTTTTGAGTTACATATTCCCCATATTGTATCGATGCCTTCGGTTTCATTTTCCTAGGTGGAAACTTAGAAACATGGAAACAGCGAGTCAGAAGGGGGCTCCCGGGCTCTAGTCGGCTCCGCTCAGGACATGCCCACCATGTGCATGTCCAGCCTATCTTTGAACACCCCCATTGATGGGGCCTCGGCCTCCTCCCATGGAAGCCCATTCCATACCCTCAGGGTCTGACCTGTCAGGAAGTGCTTCCAGGCATCCAAATTGAATCCTGGTTCCCTGAGCTTTGCTCTGTTGGAGCATGTCCTGCCTTCCTCTGCATGGGAGAACAGGTCTCTCCCCACCTCCGTGTGACATCCCCTCACACACCTGTATGTCTCCAACAGATCCCCTCTGAGTCTCCTCCAGGCTGGAGAGATCCAGTTCCCTCAGTCTCGCCTCATACGGCATCCCCTGCAAACTGGCCACCGACCTTGTGGCCCTACGCTGCATTGACTCCAACCTGGCTATATCCTTTCTGTAATGAGGGGCTCAAAACTGAGCACAATACTCCAGTTGCAGGCACACCAGAGTCGCATAGAGGGGCAGTAATGCCTCTCTCGATCTAGAAGCCACACTTCTGGCTATGCAGCCAAGGGTGGCGTTCACCCTCTTGACCACCGCATCACACTGCTGGCTCATGTTCAGCCTGCAGTCGACCAGCACCCCGAGGTCCCTTTCACAAGTGCTGCTCTCCAGCCACTTGTCCCCTAACCTGTACAAAAGCAGCGCCTCTTTGCGACCCTCACTGCCACAGAGTGGTAACAGTAATGAACTCTAACCTGCGCTCGATCGGACTGAGCACGTGCTTTCCTCCACCTGCGCACCGGCTGTCTCCCACCTTGCTTCACTGCCCTCCACTCGGGTGCGCGGCAAGGAGCTGGCCGGGCTCTGCTCGAGGGAAGAGCGTGTCAGCCACCCAAGCCACGCTTCCCCTGCTCAGAGACCAGGTGCTGCCCTTTGGTCTGCCCAAGGCCACTGCTCTGAACGCAAGCTGCCGCTGGGAGAAGGTCCCACTCCGCGGCTGCAGCAGTTCCTTGCGCTCTAGCTGGCTGGTGGCCGCGACGGAAAGTGGAGGAGGAGCGAAGGGGTGGGTGTCCGGTCTGCAGCGGAGGGCAGCAGCAGGCAAATCCAACTGCCAGTGCCCTTGCGTCCTTGCACTAATCTGTAGCGCGGCCGCACCTGGATGCAGCGGGCAGCCCCGGTTGCCTCATCTCGGGGAAATGGTGGGGGAGGGCTACAGCCGAATGGTGGAGCAGCCTCTCTGAATGCGGAGGGCTCTGGGCTGGACCTGGCATCTCTGGGTGCAGCTGGGGAACCTTCCAGCACGAAGTCCTGGAGAGCTGCTGCCTTGACGGGACTGGACCTGAAGGGCTGCAGTCTAATTTGCCACCTTCTGTTGCAAGGGTGGGGCGGGAGAAAACACGCATGCAGCTACCGGCCCAGGGGCCAGAGCTGGGGGCCGGGGGCAAGGCGGCCAGGCTGCAGCTCCTGGCATTCCCAGAGGGCTGCAGACTCGTGCATGTGGCCAAGGAAATTTCCCGCGATAGTTGAAGCTGGGACCACCCGGAGGAATGGGCTGCCCAGCCAAAGGAGGCCCTCTTCCCACAGCACGTGGGAGAGCGGCGGGCCACGGAATGGGTATGGAGGGGTGTCAAGGACGCGGCAGGCTAAAGAGGCACCCTCAGCTCGGAGCCTGCACGTTCCTGACCGCTGCGGACAAGTGGGAGAGCTCGGTCACAGGCGGCGCATCATCCTTGAACCTTTTCCCACTGTTTCTCCCATTCTAGAAGAAGAAATAAATCATATGAAGCAGGAGCTGGGGAAGTACGGCCTGCAGCTTCCACTGTTCAGCAAGATAGGTGGGATCCTTGCTAACGAGCTCTCGGTGGATGAGGCTTCGGGTAGGCAACCTGGCAGCGCTGTGGAGGAGGAGGGGGCGCATCGGCCGCGCTCGGTGGGCTCTGAATGGCACCTCGGTGCAAGGGGTCTCCGCGGCAGGCAGCGGGGGAGAGTGGCTGCCTTCATGCCCTGCATGGGAGATTCCTAGAGGAAGCTGGGCTGACCACCGCTGGAAACAAGGTATCGGGGAGGATGGAGCTCTTGCTTTGCTGTCGACCTAAATGCGCCCTTTTTGCTCCCACCTCCTAGTCCACGCTGCAGTCCTCGCGATCAACAGAGCCCTGGAGATGGGCATTGTGGCGCAAACCCTGGCGGCGCTGCGCAACCCCAGCGCCATGCTGGCCGGCCTGCGGGAGGGCCTCGGTGCTGCCTACCACGAAGTGCTCTCCAAGGCCAAGGTGCAGAAAGCGCAAAGTGCCACGAACCGGGTAGGCAGAGGTGCTGCAGTGGGGGGTGCTCCGGGGGGGCTCTCGGCCATCCCACTCGCCGCCACGACTGCCCAGCCCAGAGGCACAGGTGGCCTCTGCACAGCCGCTAAAACCTGCCCGGCCTCATCAGGGCTTCCCAGGGACCTGCAGCGCCCCATCGCTGAGGCCACTGCAGCCCTGCCAAGGAGCCCTCCCCAGGTCAAGCGCATGGGGAGCCGGGCGCCGCAGCCTGCGCTTTGGTCTCTGCGTGCACCCGCGTGATGATGGGGCAAGGAGTGGAGACTCCAGCGGAGCCCTCGGCCACGGGCCGCAGCCACCGGAAGTCGGGCCGTCCGTGAGAGCAGTGGGGGGGCGGCGGAGGGGCTCCGCAGGCCGCTGCTCGAGCGATTTCCGGTGCATCCGGGGGTGGGCGGAGAAGCTACGGAGCAAGCAGAGTCGGCAGTCTCCCCAATCCTCGGCAGCCGCGAGAGACTCCCGGCGGAGACGACATTTACACACAGTGCCTGACCCAGGCGGAGATACAAGGCAACATCGACCGGGTGAATGGTAAGCGGGGCTGTGGCCAGGGATGATGGGAGCTGCCGTCCAACCGACGGGGTGGGCCACGTGCGGCCTGCCCCTTGTGCTCCTTTGCTGCCCACTTGGCGCGCCAGCTGGCTCCTTTTGTGGTGGTGCGGCTGCGTGTTTGCTCCCACTCGCTTCCTGGGGGCACCAGGGTCGGAGCCTGGCACAGCGGGGTGCCCGGTGGCGACTCTTGGAGTGGGGGATCGGGGCCACGGAGAGCCGCACGGCTGGACCTGGAGGCACCCCCACCGTGCTGCTGCCTTTCTGATACAGTGAAGAGCGCACTCTGGTCAGTGGACGACGCCCTCGAAGCGCAGGACGCCCGGAGCCTGCACTCCGCTCTGCAAGATCCTGCCCTGGCACTGAGGAACCTGCGGCGGGAGAATGCGGACTGGTATCTGGAGCAGCTGCGCGCAGACCGGGAGCAGCAAGCGCTGGTATGCCAGGTGGGCAGGCGGAGCTGACTTGCCACCTGCCAGTTTGCCCACCTGGAACTTTCCAGGAGCTCCCGCTTGGCAGGGACAAGAGCCTGGCCTTCCTTGCCAAGGCGTGGGAACGGGGCCACAACCTCTGGCAGGCTGATTCATCCCTCCGCTTCCGCTCCTGGCTTCCAGCCCACCCGCTTTCAACAGCACCTTGGCAGTCCTGCTGCTTGCTGTTGTCAGCAGCTGTGAGAGCCTTTTGGGCTAAACACAGAGAGGCAAACCCACCAATCTCGGGGCTCGATACGTGTGCTTTAATGAAAGCTGAGGCTCTCAGCAGGCTGAATTCACCATTCAACCTGATCACATCCGGATGTGCTTGGCTGCATCTCCCATTATCCCCAGGCAGCATGGGTCATCAGAGCCCAGCACAAGATTGGGGAAGTCTGATCTAGGAAAATCCAACAAAGTGCAGAAATTACCCTTGCTTGGGCTAAGCAGCTGTAAGGAAATGAGAGCCATCAGGTCCTTTGAGCTGCATTTCAAGCAGGAACAGAACGAAAACGGTCGTGGGGCAGAAGGAACACCTTTGGGTGAACTGGGCAAATCTTACACGAGTTTGGCTGGATCAGGGCTACTCTGCGCGCATCTGGAAGGAAGCGGGGCCTGCAGCTCCGGGCACGGCCAGCCAGTCCTTTGGCCAGCAGTCCCCGCACCCCAAGCCAGCCTCTCCTGGCTGGGCCTGGGGAACAGAGCACGGGCGTTTGGTGCCCGTGCTGAACACGGAAGGGGCGAAGGGGGCGTGAGGCCCACGTGGGAGGCCCAGTCTTCCACAGCTTGCCGCAGTGGCCAGGAGCGCTGCCCGCCTCCGTCTTCTGCGCGGGCCCTGGACTGCTTGCGCTGCAGCTGCCGTGGCTCCACCAGCCACGCTCGGCCTTCTCAGAGGAGCGCCCTCTGGATGTGCTGCGCATGCCTCTTGTCTTCCCCCGCCTCAGGTGCTGGGCAGTGCTGACTTGCTCAAGCCGGAGGAACTCCAGTCTGGGCTTCACGTGGCCAACGAGAGAGCAGAGCAAGAGCGTGCTGGTGAGCGGGGGACCGGGGAGCGTGGCGGCCCCGCGGCGAATGCCCGAGCTCTGCTGGGGTGGGCCCCGTCTCGAAGGATCCCGCTGCTTGGCCCTGCTGTGGGTTGCCCTGGGCTCCTGGGCCCCTCCTCTTGGCCTGCCTCTGCCCACCCAGGAACGGCTCCCATCAGCGCTCTGCTGCGAGAGGATGAGCCGGCCAGTGATGGGCCACCTGCAAGGGCTGAGCCCGAACGATAAGCCATAAAAAGCGCACGCCTGAACTGGCAATGGCTGCAGACAACGTGTGCCCAAGGCCTTGGAAAGCGATCCGTGAGACAGACCCGGGCCGTGACCAGAATCCCGTCACATGCCGCTGGGCGTGCGAGACCAGGGTGGTCCACACCCTCCTGCCAAGGGGACCCTCCCATGCTGGGGAAGGCTGCCCAGCCGCTGTCTCCCAGCCTCCCTTGCAGGAGGGCCAAGGCGACGGGCATGCAGAGCAGGGGCCCAGCAGCTGTGGCACACGTCCTGAGCCCCGAGGGCGGGGGCAGCTTCCTCCCATCCCTGCCCACTGCTGCCCCAGTGTGAGGAAAAAGGGCTGCGGCTGGGGCTGCCTCCCATGCTAGCAAGTTGGACGCTGGGGCCAGCAGGCAGGGCTGCCTCCTCTCCCCTGGAAATCACTCAAAACCAGAGACTCCTGGAACGGGCTCCCATGGGAGGTGGCTCAAGGATAGGCTAGACAAGCTCATGGTGGGCCTATCATGAGTGGGGCCGGCTGGAGCTGGGGTCAGACTAGATGGCCTGGGAGGCCCCTTCTGATGCGCGCCTTTTCTATGTTTCTGCAGCACCCGACTCTCCCACATCTGCAGGCTTTTCCTATTGCATGCAGAAGTAATGCTTTGCTGCCTGTCCGCTCACTGGCCCGTTTAGCTGATTTTCTGGCGGGGTGGGGGGCCCAGGAGGCAGTCCGGCCTTCAGGGCCACTGGGGGCAAGTGAAGAGGGGGCTCCTTTGGCTGCAAGGGAGGCTGCGGCCCTGGAGCCTTTCCCCCGGATAAGCTCTCATTCCCTGAGGGATCCTTCAAGTCAGGGCCAGCCGGACCACCCCATGCACTGCTCGAGGAAACGTGGCAAAGTCTCCGTGGGAACACTGGGCCCCTTTGCCGTGACGGATCCACATGCCTTTTGAGCCCTGTTCTTTGCTAACGTCCCCTCCGTCTTCTTTAAAAACCCCTCCTGGCAACGCTCAGTGGAGCAAGCTGTTGGCCACATCAACACCTCCATCCGAAGAGGGGTGGCGGAAGAGACCGTGAGGGCGCTGTCCGTCTCTGAGGCGCAGCTCCCAGACGTCTTCCCCTTTGCTGCTGACCTCTACCAGCGGGAGCTGGCCTCTCTGCAACGACGGCACCCGCAGGTGAGCCTCTGCTGGAGCGTGGAGGAGGCCGCCCTGTGGCCTCTCCTGCCGGGCCACCCCAAGTGCACCACGGTTCTGCAGGCCCCAGGCAGCTGCAAGCGTGGCGTTTGCCTCTCCGGTTTGCTTCTTCCTTAAGTTGAGCTTCTGGTCTTCATGGCTAAGAAGTTGTGTTCACAGAAGACGTGGCGGCCAATGCTGCCGAAGCCCTCAGGAAGCCCTTCCCCCTCGCGTGGCTCGAGACGGCATTTCCACGCACAACCTCCGTGGCCCTCCCAGTTTGCAGAGACGTGCTTTGAAAGCACTGGCGACTCCAGAGTAAAGTACACGAACTAAGACTGGTTGCAGGCCTGGGTTTTCTTGATGCCCAGACTTAAGTTCCAGGGTGCAGGTGTGAATCCTCGTAGCAAAACACAGCAGTGCTGCTTGTCCCTCACGTGCAGGTACGATCGTGGCGTGTTGCAAGCATGTCTACAGAACCTCTAGGAACAGGTGTTGCTTATTGAGGGCAGCCTCCAGGCTCTGAAAAGTCCCAGCTGGCTCTCCCGCTCCACATGTTCACAAATGCAGACACTTCAGAAAAGGATTTATGGCAGTGATCATCTTCTGCCTGGCAGGGTGAGCTGGCCCATGAGGAGGTCTTCATCGCGGTGGAGATGCTGTCTGCGGTGGCACTGGTCGACCGGGCACTGGAGGACGGGGACGCCCGCAGCTTCTGGAGGAGCCTGGCCAGCCCTGGCCTGGGGCTGTCGGAGCTGGAGGAGAGCAACGTGCAGCGGTGAGAGGAGCCCAGGCCCCTGCCCACCAGGCTCGGGGGCCTGCAGCCAAGCCCCTGAGCTGTTCCAGACCTGCAAGGGCCGTCTGGAGCGGTTGCGGGTGGAGGACGCCGCCTGTCCCCTCTTATCTGGGCCAGTTGCGCCATGGCTCCTATCCAGCCCTTGCGGTCCCTCCTGGCCAGCCCCGGTAGCCACGCAGCATCGCTCGATTCCTGCACCGAAGGCCTGGGCCTGAGGCCACTGGCTGCTGTGGCCGTCTGTGGCCGGAGCTGCAATGCGCTGCCCAGAAGGCCTGGTGCCACCCTGCTGGCTGGCGTTCTGGGTCCGGGGGGGGGGGGCTAGACTGCCCCCCTGGGAAACCCCTGAGCACTGTGAGAAGGGGCAGGCCATCAGCCCAGGGTCTCTGCTGCCTGGAGCTCACCTGGGCCGTCCCCCCGCCGTGTCAGGCTCTCCAGCCTCCAGGTGGCTGCCCGCTGCGCCCAGTTGGGTGGCCTGAAATGGCGGTGGCTCAGCAAGTCGCAGCAGGGACGGTGACAACAACCACTCCTACCTCTGAAAACATCCCACCCGAGCCCGCGCACGCTCGCTCAGAAGCAGGCCTCGCCTCGTCCCATGGGCCCGTGTTCCGTGTTCAGATCCGCAGGATTTCAGCCCCCCGTGCCCAAGAGCAGCCGCATTCAGTCATCCTCCTGTGCAGAGCACCAGACGGAGGCTCAGCATGACTGTGCAGGGCAGGAGCTCCAAGATGCTCCCACATTTTTGTATAAAGCCTTGATTTAGTTGCAAACTTGTTGGTTTGCTTGTTTTCTCACCCACCCCACTAGACACGTTGCAACCATAACACCATACAAAAACAGTATAAAACAATAAAAACAGCTCAGACATTAAAATGACAATAAAATAAAAGTGCACCCATCAGAACTCCAGATTTCATAAAAGACGCATCCCCTTCTGTCAAAATAGCATTAAAACCCAGTTTAACCATTACAATACTGGCAGAATAAAAACATCTTTGTCTGGTGCAGAAAAAAATATAGAGGGCGCCAGATGAACCCCTCTGGGGAGCTCATTCACAAGTCCGGGTGCCACTCTGGAAAAGGCCCTTGTTCTTGTCGCCACCCTCCTCCTTCCCTGAGGAGGGGGCTCCCCCAGAAGGGCCTCTGGTGCAGCTCTAAGGGACCAGGTAGGGTTGTACATGAAGCCGCGCTCCTTTAGGTACCCTGCCCCCGAGCCCTTTAGGTCTTTAAGCCCTGGGGCCACCACCTTAGACTGGGTGCTGTTGTGTTGCATTCATGTGACCCAGCTGATAGCACCCGTGTTATGTATTTCCAAATGGAGATCTTCAGGCAAGTTAGGACAGTGATTTAAATTGGCCTTTTTCCCTGATGATTTGAAATTCAGTTCAGTTGCCTTGGTCTACATCAGTGTGCAGTCAAGAATTCATCACAACCATAGGAAACCTGTGCCTAAAGCAGGAAGGCAAAACAAGCAAGAGCTCAGTTGCGAACCCAATACCTTTCTTCTGAGCGCCCACTGAATATGAATTCAAGGGTGGGGGGATCTAGGTTTGCTTGCATCTTGAGTGGTTCTGTCCAATTACCGCAGTGTATTCATCCGAATGCTAATAAATGTGGCTCTAGCCCAACATTGGTGCTTTGCTTTCCATTTCCCAGTTACTTTGATGACTTAGCCAAGCAGAAGTGCCAGCCACAGGCTGCAAGGAAAGGTTTCCTGAGCTGGAACGACATCCAGGCTTCTGTGAACCGTGTGAATGCCTCGGTTGAAAGAGAAAGCGAGAGTAAGTTGCCTCAGCAGGTGTGCCTTTCTGACCTGAGCTTGGCAGCGGGTGTGTAAGGGCCAAGGGCCAGATCCCACCTCAGGGCCTTCTCGGTGCTTGGCCCAAACCCCGGCTCCGACTGTGAAAGAGCGAGGGCCCGTTCCCGGGCTGGGCAGCGGCCGAGGTGCTCTGGGACAGGCCTGGCCGAGCGCGAGGCCTGCTCCCCGGGGTTCCCTCGTCGCGGGACGTGGCAGAAGCCTCCTTTTCCCCCCAGACTCTCGCTTGCGGCTGGTGGGAGCCTTTGTGGAGCAACCCGGTCCCCGAGGTCAGCTGCTGCCCCACATGCCTCCCTGGGGCCTCTTCTGCTCCCTTCCAGAATGACTGCATGGCAGGGAAGACCCATGAGTGCAGACCCCCGTTGCGCTTGTCCAGTGCAGCTTCCCCACAAAGAGAGAATACATTTCAGAAAGACAAATAGCTGGAGATTCAGGATAGAGAAGCAACTTGAACACTGGCATTGAAAAGCAGTAAACAGTGTAAGAACCAGACAGACCAACATGCTCCTCAAATTAAAATGTTGCCACTGCAACTAAGGGCCGAGTCTGAGAGAGCGTCCTCGCATCCACGCCAGGCTGCTGCCTGGGATTGCTGATCCGCCTTTCGTGGGCTCAGGCTGCCCGGCCCAGCCGCTGCCCCCTCGCACTCTCCCCACAGAAATCCTCGCGATCCGGTTGGCCAATGAGGCTCTGGGGCAGGACAGCCCCGAGGGGACCCTCCGAGCACTCTTGCTGCCTTCTGCCGGCTTCTGTGCCGTGGGGCTCCCCACGGCGAAGCGCTACCATGCCGTTTTGACCCAGATGTTGAAGCAGAAAGTCCAGGTAGGAGGGGGAGGAAGAGGAGGGTGGAGCTGGGGGTCCAGGATGGATCACCCTGATGGGGGGTGCTCCAGTGGGCCAGGCTGGCCTTGGGCCAGCGGAGTTCTGGGCTGCGCTGAGCCCGCAATGGAGGCAGGCGTTCTCCCGTCTTCCAGCACCGCACACGTGGCTGAGCGAACTGGTGGGGGGGGCGCTGTCTTTCATGCCGTCTTTCCTCCACCTCACTTGGAGTGATGTCCACGCCTGCCTTCACTTCACAACAACCCTGTGGGGTGGGTTAGGTCAGCTGAGTGCAGTGGCCCAGTGAGGCATGGTGCTTGGGGGGCCGAACCGAGCCCATCTTCAAAGTGGGAGAGCACACTTCTCTCCAAGGGGGTGCTGGAGACCCAGCATCCACAGTCCCAAAAATCTCAGGCTCATTTTCTAGAGCTTGTGAATTAGAAGATCTGCCTGCACACGCCTGGGCAGTGTGGGTGGGGATGGGGGGGTCTGCGGCAGGGCGGGGGGCAGCCCCTTGGAGCACTCTTTTCTCCCCCCAGTGGTGCAGGGGTGCGTGTGGTGGGTTCCAGAGGCAGCCCTGTGCAAGGAGGCGTGCTGACCCACCTTGCCCGAAGCCTGGGGGAGGGAACCATCAGCTGGCATTCACGGGTGCCCGGCTGGCCTGTGAAGCCGGCTAGGATGGTAGAGCTGGCAGTGCAGGACTCCAGGTGCACCCCACCCCAGGCACCGCCCAGCCACCGCCTGCCTGCCTGCCTCCAGCGTGCCGCAGAGCCCGCCACCTCCCCAGATGGGCGCTGCATCGGCTCCCGTGCGACGAGGGCACGGCGGGAGTGCTCCAGCGCTGCCCTCTCCTCTCTCTTCCATGCTGTAGGTGACCGGGGATGCTGCAGCCTCGCTGTGGTGGGAAGAGATCCAGGAGGGCATCTTCAAGGCCAACCGAGACACGGATGCAGCTCAGAGAAGTACGGGCACCGCGTGGCCTTCCTGAGAGCAGCGCTGCCATTGGGCCTTCCGAGGAGGCTCTGCAAAGGGGCCACAGAGCTCGGTGGCAAGAGAGGCCGCCTGAGCCAAGGTTCTTGTCCCTGTGGGTCTGTGGACAGGCCTGCAAATGTGGGGGCCTTCTCCAGCCTCAAACGGCTCCTCAGCCCGATTCCAGACGGCAGCAGGGCGACTTGCCGGGCTTGGTGAGCCGTGCTGGGTTGTGCCACGCCTGAGCCCAGTGTGCCCCGTGGGGTGGCTGAGAACCTGCGCCCCGTGCTCAGCTTGCCTGTGCCCATGGTGGCTGCCGGGGAGGCCCACACAGCACGGGGGGCATTGCCGGGAACAGGGCGCACACCCCCCGGCAGGAGAAGTGCAAACCCTGACGCCCCTGGGGACTTTGCTGGTGCCGCCGTCTCCCTTCCTCATCTCTTCTTGGTGCCCTCGGCCCTGGGCCCCTAAAAATGGAGACGGAAGAGCCCCAGGGAGTGCCTGGAAGTGGGTGGAAGCTTGTTCAGCTGCTAGGAAGCATGCGCTTTCCCCTCTTCTTTGCTGCTCAGCCGGGACAGTTGCGTAGGCTGGGTGGTCCCGCCCACGACTTTGCGACCTCCGTGTCCATGGCGCTGCTGGCAGCAGAGACCGGTGGAGGGACCAGAGTGGGACAGGGAGCTGAGGGGGCTGCGGAGGGAAGGCCCTCTCTCTGGGGCGGGGGGGGGGGGGGGCGGCATTGAAGCAGCCTTTCAAGAAACGGAGTGTGCATGCAAGGCAGGTGCCCCGATGGAGCGGGAGGTTGGCAGGGGGGTTCGGACATCGGGAGCCTGGCTAAATAGCGGATGGAGTGCTGCATGGAACACGCTTGAAAAGTGAGTTGCAAATGTGTTTCTGCTTTCAGGGGAGCCCAGAAAGCGCAAACCGTGAGGGGGCGATTTTCCCTGGGAAATTAGCTGCTCTCGGGAGCCAGCGACAGAAAGGGTGCTGAGGAGGGGAGAGGGAGGGAGGGAGACCCTCTGCTGTGCAGGCGTCCGGACTCCTGCCAGGAGCCCGCGCGAGGGCTGAGGGGGCATGGCGGGCCACGAGCGGGCAGGGGACTGTTTCCAGCACGGCCGAGCATGATGCGCACGCCACCCACACTCTTGCCTTGCACCTCCTGCAGTGGCTCTCGGGATCGCAGCCATTAACCAGGCCGTCAAGGAGGGGAACCCGCTGCAAACCGTCCGAGTGCTGCGCAACCCGGACGTGCGGCTCTGTGGCGTGGTGGCCGAGTGTGCCGCGTCTTACCAAGCGGAATTGGGAGCCATTGCGGCTGCCCGAAGCCCCCCAGGCAAGTGAGGTGGAGGGTCCTGCTTTGGCTGTGCTCGTCCTGCTGGTCGGCAGGCCTTTCAGCCCCAGCCCGCCTGGTTGCCCTTCCTCTGTGGCGCCTCCCTGGCCCTCATCCTGCCCCGCCTTCCAGGGCGCTCGGGAAACCCCTGGGTCCAGCACAGGCTGAAGCACGGAATGGACTACTACTTCAGCCTGCAGACTTTCGAAGGCACGTGGGAGCAGCCTCATCCGTGTGCCGTGAGCGTGGCGCACCTCAGCCGGGAGGAGATCCAGGTAGGCAGCGGCAGGTGACCTGGGGCTGCTGCGGCACACGCATCTGTGCGGGAAGGCGATGGGCGGCTCCCGCTGTAGAAACAGACTGAATGAGTCAGAGGGGCCTCCCGGGCCACCCGGTCTGACCCCCGGCTCAGCCGGCTCCGCTCATGATATGCCCACTATGCCTTTCTGCAAGCGTTTCCTCAGGCGGAGGCATGCAGATTCATTGGTGTTAATTGGCAAAGGTTTCTTTAAGGTGCGGCAGCCCTGCTGTTAACGCTGCGTTGCTGCACCGCATGGTGCGGGGCTTGCTTGGCGCACCGCTCACCCTGTGAGGGCATGCGGGCCGGGCTCGCCATGGACTGCCCGCCGCTCTCCCACTCGGCCTCCGCCTGGCGTCTCCAGAGGGCTGTGGCTGACACCGCTCTGCCCACGCGCCCTGGCAACTGCACCTTCTTGCCCTGACCAGGTTCCCCCTTCTCCCTGTTTCTTCACTGGAAATCATTTCCTGTGATCTTTGGTGAGGCAGCCAGGGGAGTACATGCAATCTGGCTATTTCCATACTGAAACTGCTGTGTTCATGTCTCCCTTAAAAGGAAGCTTTACTTTTGGAAGCTGTCAAAGTTAAGTCTCCCTTCATGTGAGGGAGGGAGGGCTGCCCTTTTCCCCTTACATGAGCAGGTGGAATCTTGGGTAAAGGGGGAGGACACTGCAAACTATGGGGGAAAATAAGAAAAACCCTGGAGGCCTCACCGCCAGGGGGAGGAAAATCCTTCACGTTCCTTTCTGTGTGCACAGGTCCCGTGCATCTTTGCTTTCCCTTAACAGCTTGCCTTTCGACAGCTGTTGAATGCGCAGAGTAAATATTTCCGGCCTCTCTTACCTAAAGCCCATGGTTAGTGCCTGCTGAACCTTCAGGGTAGAACATTGCTCCCAGAGCTTTTCTCATTTCAGACGGCTGCAATTCCATACCTTCTTTCTTGCACAAGACCAACTAATTTTTCTTTTTTAAAAGTACTTGCAGAAAAATACTCGCGGGTGTTTTCACTCACTGCTTCCTTGAGTGCAGACCATAGCCAGTTGCCTGGGCTCCACCCCTCCAGGCTCCAACGGCCGTGGGCTCTTGGGGCGACTTGCTGTTCTCCCTGGATGTGCCCAGCACATCGTCCTTCCAGAGCACCAAGCAGCCAGCCTCCTCTGGGTGGCCTGTACCACTTGAAAGCCTCAGAAATGCAATACTGTGCAATGCTGTAAAATCTGTCCACATACAAACATAAACACACATGAGGAAGCACAGTTCTAGCGACACACAGTGATACCCTGGCCCTGTTGAAAATGTGTCAAATGCATGAGAGAAGAGGGTGGCCTGGTTTCTCTCAGAACCAGATGCCAAAAAGGTGGCAGTGTTGCTGCCGGGCAGACCTCACTGGGGAGATTTTTTGTGCGTGGGAGCCATCACCACGAGGGCCCTGTTCCTCATTGCTGTCCTCTGAGGAGAAGGGGCACGGGAGAGCCCAGGGCACAGATAGGCTCATGCTGGCAGGGAGCCATGCCCAGCATCCTGTTCCCAAGCTAATGTAGCTTGAAACCACCCCCTGAACGCGGATGCACAAAGTGAGCTAGAACCGGTTCCCCGTGACTGGGCCTTTGGGCCCGCTTTAGCAGTCTGGCCGCAGCCTTTGACATCCGCTGCGGCTTCCAGCCCTTCTTCGGAGGCAGCCCTGGGTGCCGTGTGGCCTTGGGACCCGTGGAGCCCAGCCCAGCCCAGCCCAGCCCAGCTGCTGCGGCCAAGGGATGGCGTGGCCGGAGCGGCCCCGCACGTTGGTGTGCCGTCGACCCTTTGCCTCCTCTGCCGCCGGCGCACCTTCCGTGGGAAGCGCCGAGCCATTTCCGCTTGTGGTGCCGGTCAGCTCCGCCAGCCGGAGGCCTGCCCAGGGAGCGCTTCTGTGCTAGTGTGCTGGCACGGGCTGTGAACCTGCCTCCCCAGCAGCCCGCCCTCGTGCAGCGACATGGGAGGAAGTGGTCCGGGGGGAGCCCCTGGCCCTGTGTCGCGTGGGAGCCCCCTGCAAGACTGGCCCCGTCAGGCCCCGTCCTGAAGCCTGTGCAGCGAGGGGCCAGGGCAGCTGGACCTACCCGGGAGCTCGGCGGGGTGCAGGCCGCCGTGCGTGGCTGGCTTTGCCTTGTGTTGGAGGCAGGAGCGTGGGGAGGGAGTGGCTGCCTCCTCGTGTCCTGAACCTGACCGGAGAGTGCCTCGACTTGGGCCGTTCTGTCGGCCCGCTTCATTGATCCTCTGTGCTTCAGTCCACCATCACCAGAGTGACGGCCTCCCACGATCGGCAGCGCCTCTGGGAGTCCCACGCCCCAGTGGTCGCCCGGCTGCAAGCCCAGATGAGGGGCTTCCTCGTCCGCCGGGAGTTCGTGGCCCGGCGGCTTCTCCTGGTGCAGCAGGCTTTGGCCGCCCGCAGGATCCAGGTAGGGTGCAGCTGCGTGGGTGGCCAGCCTGGCAGGGCCGGGCCGAGCTGAGGCCGGTCCCAGCCCTGCGGTGGGGGGGGGGCACTGCAGCCCAGCACTCGAACCGCTGCTTTGCCTGTGGGGGGCTCCGTGGCTGCAGTGCCCGTCAGAGCGATCAGAGAGCACGCATGAGGGGCAGGTGAGCTGCCAGCGCCGGCCAATGCGGAGGGGCTGGGCAGGCGGGACTCACCTGCTGGCCCAGTCCAGCGGCAGCCTCCCGTGCCACTGCCTGGCTGAGGCTGTAGGGGTGCGGCAGGGCAGGGCAGGGCAGGCATGTGGGGCAGGCAGCTGGGGCCCTCTGGGGTGCCCGTGGGCTCTGGGGAGCGGCCTCAGCTCCTGGCCAGAGCGGCGCTCCCCAGTCAGGTCCCAGGGCGCCCGCCGGCAAGGCCGTGGGCAGGCGGGGCTCCGTGTGCTGGGGGCCGCCACGTCCGTGGGCCGAGGAGAGAGTCCCGGCTGGAGCCTGGGCCACGGAGAAGCGCTGCCGACCCAGAGGACTCCTCCACACTTGGCATAGGGCCCAGCAGACGGGGGAGGGAGGGAAGGTGGTCCCACCAGGGCCATGCCGGGGGCTGGGCGGGGCTTGAACCCGGGCCTTCCCAGCCCTGCTCCTCCCTCTGCTCCCTTCCATGTGCTCACAGGCCTGCTGGCGCGGATACCGGCAACGAAAGAGTTACCGGGAAAGACTGCGCTTCTTGCAGAAGAACACGTGTGCCATCGTAAAGGTAGCCACACTGGCGTTGCCGGGGGGGGGGGCACCTCATGGCGCGGCCTCCCTTGCCGCTGGGTCCAGCGGCAGGGAAGGGCTCTGCACTCGCCGTCTCTTCCATCTGCCTCCAGATCCAGGCCTGGGTGCGGATGTGGCGCGCACGCAGACGGTATCGCGAGCGCCTGCGCTACTTCAGGAGGCGCGTGAGTGGCTCTGTGTGCTCCCTCCCTCCCCAGCACTGCCTTGCAGGCCTGCACCGCCTTTCGCCACCGCTGGCCAGGTGCCCCCAGGGACCCACGGGGGGCACGGAAGCGGCAGCCCTTCCTGTGCTTGGGGTTCTGGCATTTTGCCCGGCACTGTGACTGGGAGACGCCCGCCGGGCTTCTCTGCCCCGAGAATGGGTGTCTTTTCCAAAGCCATCGACAGGGCGCACCAAGGGCTCCGCCCTCCTCCCCGTGACCGGCTGCCTCGCCCCCTTCCCCACCGGCCGCTGGCAACACTGCCGTCCGCCTGAGGTTCTGCTGTTCGGAGCCCCCATTGGCAGCTGGGCACCCAGCAGATCGCCTGCGGGGCGGCTCGCTCCTTCGAGAGCTCTCCTGGCAGCCCGGTCTCCTCCTCTGTGCTGTCGCCCCACACACGCACGGCACCATGTGCGTGGTGCGGGCTCGGTGCGTCCTGGCGCGGGTGCCGTTTGCCGCCCGGCGATGTGTGCAGAGCATGTTTCCTCCTTTTGCATGTCCCGGCAGGTTCAGGCTGTAATTAAGATACAGGCGTTTTTCCGAGCCAGCAAGGCCCGGGAGGATTACCGGCTGTTGGGTGAGTGTCCGCCGTGCACACGGCAGCCGCTGGTGACAGCTGTGCCTACAACCACGCTGTCAGCAGGGCCCCTCCTGCCACCCCGGGGGCTCCTGCCTCTGTCCTCACGTGCCGCTTCCGACCCCCCCTCCCTCTCCCAGTCCACACTCGGGCACAGCAAGCCCAGTTTTCCTCTTCGTTTTGCTTCTGTGGAGGCCCGGAAGCCCCTGTGCCCCTCTGTCAAGGGCCCCCCCATCCCCTGGAGTGCGGCACCGCCCTGAGGCGGTGGGGCGCTTGCCCTCAGTCCTTGGCTCCTGGGATTGCGCAGCCCACTCCCCGAGATGCACGGACGAGGGTCTTTTCCTGCCCGTCAGTGCGCAGTGCGAACCCGCCACTCAGCACCGTCCGGCGCTTTGCCCACCTGCTGGAGCAGAGCCAGCAAGACTACTGGGAGGAACTGGAGCTGCTGGAGCTGCAGGAGCGCGTGGTGCGGGGCATCCGCCACAACCGGCAGCTGGAGAGCGACCTCGGCCTCATGGACATCAAGATTGGCCTGCTGGTCAGGAACAGGATCACCCTCCAGGTCAGGCAGGTCACGTCGGGGTGCCCGGGGGACGTCTGGCTGAGCCTTCCTGTGGCCGCCCTTGTGCCTCACTGCTGGCACTGGCCTGAGCTGAGAGCAGAGCCGGCCCGGTGCGGGGCTGGGGGCTGTTTCTGGGCTCCTGACGCTTCTCTCCTGGGCAGGAGGTGGTCTCTCACTGCAAGAAGCTGACCAAGAAGAACAAGGGGCAGCTCTCCGACCTGCTGGGCCAGAGCAAGGAAAGGGGGCTGAAAGCACTCAGCAAGGAGAAGCAGAAGGTCCTGGAGGGCTACCAGCACCTGTTCCACCAGCTGCAGGTCTGTGTCTGCAGGTCTCTCTGGAGGCCGGAGGCACGTGCCACCGACCACCTGGCTGCTGCCGGCACGGCCCCCGTGGGCGGGCTTCCTCGGGTCCCGGGCACGCAGCCGCAGTGGTGTCCAAGCCCCGAGTTTGCTGCTGTGGCAATCTCAGTTCTTCCTTTCAGTGAAAGGAAAACTAAACACCTTGTCCTCAAGTTGGTGCAGATGAGCCATCTGTGGGAATTGCAGGAGGCAGAAGGGGGGCTGAGCTTGATTTCAAGGGTCTTGGCCCCCCTCCCCGTGCTCAGCTGCAGCTGCTGGGCAAGCGGGTGCCCCAGAGGCTGCGGCTCTCCCTCGCCCCCACGGCGGAGGGCGGAGTGGCAGCACAGGATGGCGCCGCCGGCACTGGGGGTCCCGACTTCCACGTAGTCCCTGATCCTACTCCCACACCCCACACTTTGCAGCCCCTAAGTGAGTGGCTGCTTGGGGGTAGGGATGGCGCCCACTTTTCTGTCCATCCAGGATTGTCCAGCCGTGCTGCATTTCTGGCATGGAGCAAAGTCGTCAGATTTCTGCAGAATGTCGGAACAGATGTGGGTTTGCACGTTCATTTCAGGCTGCTGCCGTCTGATTTCTGCGGCTGGCGCTGTGGGAGCCCATGGGCATGAAAGGACTTGTCCTTCAGATACTTTCCTTTCAGAGGCCTGTCTAGGGGTGCTCGCTCTTCTGCCCCCAGAAAGGGGAGCCATGGCAGGGGAGCCGCAGTGTGGCAGCCTCTGCGCCCCTGGAGAAGAAGCTTTCCTGTCTCCGTGCCCAGACGCTACTGTGCCGGTGTGAGCCTAGAGGGCGGAGAGCAGCTGCCTGCCCGGTGCAGTCCCGGCCCAGTGGATCCCTGCGCTCACCCATCTCGCGCTGCCTTGCAGAGCCACCCGGCGTACCTGGCCAGGCTGATCCCGCAGGTGCCCCAGAGCAAGTCCATGGCGCCCGTCATCTTCGCCCTCTACAACTACGCCTCCAGCGCCAGGGAGGCCTGCCTCCTGCTTCGGCTCTTCAGGAGCGCCGTGCAGGAGGAGGTAAGGTGAGTGCCTGCCCTGCAGCTCGTGCCTCCCGTGGCAGCGCCCCGCCCTCGTCCTTTTCATCGCTTGCCACCCCGGCTCAGTGAGGGGTTTCTGCCGTTTGCGGCTGGCCGAGGTGACTCCCGGGTGGTTCCGGAGAGCCCCAAGGGCTCCCCCAGGGGGAGTGCTCTGCCTGCATCGTAGGCTGCGCAGTCTCGCCGGCCGACTGGAAGGGAACGCTCCGTGGCTACAAGTTCTGCTGGCCACGTGCGCTCCCGGGATTGGGGTCAGGATGCTCCAGTGCACGGGGGTTGCTCTTCCGCTCCAGCCCTGCTTGCGGGTTTCCCCCCGGGCCGCTGGTTGGCCACCGTGGGATCCAATGCTTGGCCCAGAAGTGTCCCTGGTCTGTTCCGGCCTGCGGGCTCATCTTAGGTTCTCCTGTGGATAATTCCTGAAGCGGAGCGAAACTGGCCGTGCCTTGTGGGCCCACAGTCGCCTGTCCCTCGGGCTAAGCCACAGAGCCAGCAGAGCTGGTTGTGGCCCTCTTCCCTCACAGCTCACCGTGCTGGTTCTTCTGCGGTCTGCTTCCAAGGTCAAAAGCAACTCGAATCCAAGACATCCTGACGGGAGACCCAGCAGTCACCCACCTGGCCGTGAGCTTTTACCGCGGGGCCCGTGGCCGGAGTGCCTTGCGCGAGATCCTGGCCGGCCCCGTGCAGGACGTTCTGCAGGACAAGACGCTGCGCATCCACACCAGCCCTGTGGACATCTACCGGGGATGGATCAATCAGCTGGAATCCCAGAGTGGGCGGAAGAGGTCAGGGAGCGGCTCCTCTCCATGTTCGCACGGTCCTGCCGTTGCAGGAGGCTCCCAGCGCCTTCTGGGCTATGTGATAGAAACATAGAAACAGAGCAAGCCAGAAGGGACCTCCTGGGCCATCTAGTCTGACCCCCGGCTCCAGCCGGCTTCGCTCACCGGCAGGGAGGCCCCCTTCTGACTTGCTCGTGTGCTGTGTCAAGCCTGCAGGCAGCAGTGAAACCTGGTGGAGGGGCCCTGGAGCTGCCCTCAGCCCCATCCAAGTGGAGAGCTGTCTGGCCTGGTCCTGCCCACTGCTGCCGGGCAGCCAGGGCTCCCCACGGGCGGGAGCCTTCCTGCCCTCCCTGGAGGGGCTGCTGGGCCCTGGCCCGGGACCAGTGGTGGCCTGCAGCCGCCCTCTGGGGGCAGGGGGAGCCCCCGGCGCAAACACCTTCCGGTGCGGTCCTGTCACGAGACGCGGGCAGCTTTGGGCGAGAAGTTGCACGGTCCTGTTCCCTCCCCAGGGCCTGGGACCCGAGAAGGGACCCATGCGGGACGAGGGGAGAAGGCCCAGGAGGCGTGTGCCCGTGGCAAAGGAAACCCCGTCCTCCGGGGGAGGGCGTGGGCAGGAGCGAGCCCGAGGCTGGCCAGGCTGCGGCTCGCTCGGCGCAGAGGCTGCGTGCTGGTCTGCTCTCGGGCTGAAGGCGCGGGTGGAGCGGGGCCCTTCGGACGGGGGAGGAAAGCCCTGCACAAGTCTCTGCTTCTCCCCAGCGACCTTCCGTACGATGTCAGCCCCGAACAGGCCTTGGGCTACCCTGAAGTCCAGAGGCGGCTGGACATCTCCATCCGCAATCTTCTGGCCGTGGCAGAACGGTTCCTCTTGGCCATTGTATCTTCTGTGGACAAGATCCCGTAAGAATCCGTGGTCTCCTAAAATTATGTGTCGCTCACGGTTAGCCATCCCCGATCAAAGCAGCGCGGGGCTTGTTGAAAGGGCCCCGCGCGCCTGGCCCCTCGCCGCCTCACTGCACGGCTGCGGCCTGTCGTGCTTCCCAAGCCCAGACCGTAAGGAGCAGCAGCCCGCTAAGCGCGCTCGTCCTCTTGCCCACCCTGCTCTGCTTCCTTCCGGGGGGCACTGGCCACGCAGGACTCTTTGGCCTCCGCTTCCCCAGCCCGGCTGCCGGCCGGCCGGCCACCCGGTGCCCGTGCACTTGCTGGCAGCGCCCGAGCTAACGTGGGCGGCAGAGCCTGTGCGGGTGGTGTGCCCCGTGGCCTCTGGCCCCTCCGCCGCTGGGATGTGCCCGAGAGCATCTCCTCTGCTGAGCTCAGCCCTCGACAGAAGGGACCCGCACCAACGTCCCTCCGGGCGCCAGCTCGCCTCGGCTCCCCTCCACGCGTTGACTGCCTTCTAGGTACGGGATGCGCTACATCGCCAAATCCTTGAGGACGGCCTTGACTGAGAAGTTTCCGACCGCTACTGCGGAGGAGATCGACAAGGTGCGTCTCACCCGGGGAGGCAGAGGGCTGGACGGAGCTCGGCTCGGGGGCTGTGACTGCTGTGATGGCCCTCCGGAATGGGCTCTGCCTCCCTGCCATTGTGGGGCGGGACCCAAGCACGTGCCCTGCAGCGGCAGGGACCCCTGGGGCCTGCAGCTGCCACAGCCAGCGGCCAAGGAGGAAGGGAGTTGTGGACCCAGGTTCGAAGCAGGAGGGCAAGGAGACACGGAGGAAGCTGCAGGCCTGACGAAGGCGCTGGGGGCAGAGGGGGCCCGGGGGCCTTCCCCACACAGTGGCACCGGCACCTGGGCAAGCAGCTGTGCTGATGCCCCCCGCAGGGCCGCTTCTCTTGCGTGGGCTGGCCCTCCCACGTGTGGCATGGCTGGTGATGGGAAGCTCCTGCCGCTCGCTTCTCGGCCCGCCCTCCCGCCCGCCGAGCACGCGTGGCTCGCCTTCCGAAGCTGCTCCTGGGCCCCTGGGCCAGGCGTTGAGCAGCGCGGGCTGTGGGTGCTCCTGCACCGTGGGGCAAGGGAGGCAGCATGCCAGGGAAGAGGCGGGCGGGGGCCCCCTTGGCCGTGCGCGGGCAGCCTTCCGCGTGGGCGTTCCCGGTTCCCCCAGGTTCTCCCCTGCGCTGTCTCGTGCCGGCCGAGTCTGAGTGCAAGACTGCCTTGTGTCCTCCGTGGGCCAGTTTTGCATTTCCCCGGCATTATCGGGGCATCATCCCCGGTGGGACGAAGGAGCAGAGCAGTTCATGGGCAGAGTGCCGGTTACTCACCGGAGGGCCAGGCGGGGCTGGGCTTTCTTCAAAGACAGCCGGCGGCAGGGGGGGATCCAGCAAGGTGCGGCCAATACCGTCAAACGTGGGGGCTGCATGGCAGCTCTTGCGGGGCGCCCCTGCTCGCAGCCGCTGCAAGGCACACCGGGTGTCCTGGGGCACGAGCTGAGGGGCGGCGGAGACACGGGGCAGGGCAGCCTCCGGGGAAGGAGGGCCAGTCCGGGGGCACATGGCCAGCGGCCTGTGCCCAGGTCTTGGGGTGCCCGTGTGAGCTAATCTGCTGGCCCCCATGCCAAGGGCCCTGGCCTGCTCCCTGGGGGCCGTGCTGGGAAGGAAGGGCCCCCCTCTGCGGGTGGTTGGCGAAGGGGCTGGTGCCCAGCTGGTCTCCAGGGCGTCTTTGGGGCTCACGGCAAATGGCTTGTTCTCCTAGTGCATCGGGAACCTTCTGTACTACCGTTTCATGAACCCTGCTGTCGTGGCTCCAGACGCCTTTGACGTGGTTGAGCTCTCGGCGGGGCTGGCTCTGCACCCTGACCAGCGGCGCAACCTGGGCTCCGTGGCCAAGATCTTGCAGCACGCGGCCGCCAACCAGCTGTTTGAGGGGGAGAGCAGCCACCTGAGAGTGGTAAACCCGTACCTGCAGGCAGCGCACCAAACGTTCAGGTGGGTGTGCGGACGTGCCGTGTGGGCCGGGGCTGTTGGCCGCCTGTGTCCAGCCCGCCGGGCCTCCTTCCCGCCTGGTCTCCCTGCCTGGAGAAGCCTTTGTGAGGTTCAGGCACAGTGCGCTGGGGCAGAGCAGCGGCACTTTGACCGGGGAGCTTCCAGAAAATGCGGTGGGGCTCTTCTGTCACGGCCTCCTTCGGGAAATGGGGTCAGAATAATGCCAGAAGCTGCCTGGACCCTCTGCAGTGGTCTGTGGACGAGGCCAGGCAATTCCACAAGAAAAGCCTCATCCAGAAGGGCTCCAGGGAGCTGATGGAGCCCCTGGCCAGGAGCAAGTCGTGTGTGGCATGACCTGGGCGTGTGGCGTCCACGGAGTGGATGCCACGGGGCACAGCAAGCGCCTGGCTTCAGCAAGGAATGCACTGCTTTCGGTTCCCTTTTAACGGACCCCCCTCTCCTGGCCTTGATGGAAGTGCTGCGGGAAAGGGTGCCTGCTTCTGGCCCCACCTCTGCTCACTGTCCTCTTCCCTCCGGCCTCGTAGGGGATTTATCTGTGCAGCCTGCTGCGTGCCGGAGCCAGAAGAGAGGTTCAGCGTGGACAAGTATTTCGAAACGGTGGCCATCACCAAGCCCGTCATCTACTTAACTGTTGGGGAGCTTGTTAACATGCATAAGGTGAGAGCAGCAGCTGGTGGCTGGTCAGAGTCTGGCTTGCACCGGGAGCGAGCAAGTGTGTGTGAGAGAGCGAGCGAGCGAGCCAGAGCCTGCTGCAAGGTGGCCGTGCGTGTGTGTGTGTGTGTGTGTGTGTGGCAGGGTCAGGGAGGAAGTCTCGGACACTGCAAATCTGGGAGCTTCTTTGTTCCCAGTTCCCAGTCCTCACTGAGAGGAAGACAGACTGGCATTTCTCTCTGTCCTTCTTAGTCTGGCAGCACGGAAGGAGCGTCAAGCAAGCAACACTGTGGTTTGTTTGCTGCAAATTGCAAACCAGGAACTCTGGTTTGTGTTTGGTTGGTTGGATTATTGCATTTCTAACCTGCCCAATAGCCAGTATTCTCCTTCCCCAACAAGCCGAAGGAATGATCCAACTAACTGCGTGATTTTTCTGGCTTGCCCAGAGAAAGGCGAAGTTCCTGCTCACGGGCCCTTTGAGGCAGGCTGCGGGCAGATGCTCCAGGAGTGGCCGGGCCGTCTGCACTCACCCCCATGCTTTGTTCGCAAATCGGGCAGGCTGTGATGTGGGCACTGCCCCAGCTTGGAACCGGCTCGGGGCGGCTGCTCCGCCTGCCATCACGCAAGTTGCCTGCCAGTTTCAGGAAGCAGAGACGTGGCCTGGAGGGTGGGCTGGGCCGTGTGGGGCTGGAAAGCGTTCCCTCCCAGCCTCGGAGAACGGCCCCTCCCGGCCCGTGGCTGAAAGGCCCACAGCGCAGGCCGGCCTCAGAGCCCGGTGTTCGTGCGACACCGCGCAGGGTGCCCGGCAGATGCTTGCGGCTCCCCCTCCCGGCCCTCTGGCCCCTCTCCGGGACCCCCCGGGCGTGGCCCCTTCCGCAGCCACCCCAGCGTTTCCCACTTGCGTCCCTTTCTTCTTCAGGAATTCTTGCTTGCCCCTCTGGGGAGCCCGAGTGGCCCACCGGGGGCCCCTCCCCGGGTCGCCAGGAGGTGCGAGGGCCTCAGGAGGGCCGGAATGGGGCGCCTGGCCTGCCCAGTGCCGGGACAGGCCCCCTCGTGGGGCCTCCGCCGGCACGTGGCTGTGCCTCTGCTTGGCCCACCGCTGTCAAACGGTGCGCTGCCAGACGAAAGCACAGCTGCGGGAGGGAGGGGGGAGGGAGGGGGGGCGGTGAGTGCAGGGTGCCCTGGCAGTGCGCTCTTCTCTGCTCCGTCCCGTTCCCTTGGCTTGTTTGCACTGATCTGTACTGCTAAATTTAAAGAAAAGTCCCTCAGCGGCTTCCATAGAATATTAAAAATCACAACTAAAAGTACATTTAGATGCAACTTCAGCAGCAGCAATACAGCAATGCAGGAGAAGTAAACCGGCGCCTCAGGGCTAACACGCTTGGTCCCGCGGTTCTCCTCTCCCAAGCTTCCTGGAGGGTGAAGGGCTGCCCCCCCGGTGGCGGACCTGCTCTTGGCCAAGTCCGCTCCCCGGCGCAGGGCCCTGCCTTGCCGTGGACGGGGGCACGTGCACGTTGCTTGGTGCAGGGTGCAAGGCTGGGCTCTGGCCCGCTGAGGCGCAGACTCCGTAACTGAGTGTTTTGCGCTGCTCTTGCCGCTTTGACGGCCTTTTGGGCAGAGAAGCGGCCGAGTAATATTGATGCAAACAAGCCTGCCCGCTGGTCTCTTCACCCTCTCCCCCCTCCCGAATTCTCTGTATAAGCTGCTACTGGAGTGGCGGCACACCGTGGCTCCTAGTCCTCAAGACCCTCTGCATGAGCTCCTGGAGGACCTTGGAGAGCTGCCCACCGTCCAGTCCTTCATAGGTAGGCCCGGCAAAGCCACAGTGCCTGGGCAGCAGCCCGCTCGGGTCCCGGAGCTGCAGTGCCCCTGGCGAGGGGCAAGAAAGGGCGTGATGCCGCCCCTGCGGGGAGCAGTCGGGCTGCCCCACGCACACGCAGGGAGAGGGTGGGAGAGGAAGGCTGCTGCCGGCACAGGGAGCACGCGTGGGGCAGGGGCAGGGGCAGGGGCGGTGCAGAGAAAGGCGTGCAGGCATCCACTTTCTGAGGGGTGGGGGGCTGCCCTGCCACTGGGGGGTGCTGTGAAGACCAGCACAGCTCCTGGCCAGCCTGGGCCTGCTTCCGTGGGGGCGCCGGCAGAGAAGGGCAGCCGTGAAGGCCTGGAGGAGCAGCAGAGGCGTTGGCAAGTCCTGTGGGCCCAGAATAGCCCGGAGCCGCGTGGCAAAAATGGCAAAGGTGGTTGTGAGGAGGAAAGCGGGTGCACCCCGCGTGCTGCTCGTGCCTCTGGGGGCGCCCCGGGCAAAATGGCCAGCCATGGGGTGGGGGTGGTTCCAACAGTTCTATACTGCCCAAGGCCAAAGCACTCTGGACAGTTTGCAACAATCACAGAAGTATGCCCTCAGGTCACCCATCCATATTCCAACCAGGCCTGACCTTGCTTCGCTTCCAGGATTAGCGGGACCAGGCGCTTCAGGCTATGTGGAAGCAGTGAGTCTGCCCACAGCAGCACCCCCCGCCCGGCGCCACTCCCCTCGTGCCCCCCCGGCCGGTGGTGCAGGTGTGGGGCGAACGCCTGGCCCCTGGCAGCGGTCGCTGTGCGCGGTGCATCAGGCAGCGTGTGGCCTGCGGGTTCCGGCTTGGCTCTTGCTCGGCTCTTCTGCCCTCCCTTTCCGTTCTGCAGGTGGAAGCGACGGCTGTGCCGCGAATGGGGACGTGCAGCAGGCGCTGCGTCGGCTTGCCAAGACGGAAATTTCTCTCGTGCTTAGCAGCAAATTTGACGTGACGAAGGAGGAGGCTGGCGATGCAGGAAGGGGTGCAAAGAGCTTGCTGCTGAGGTGGGCAGAGGGCTTCTGCCCACAGAGACCAAGCCCAGGCGGTCCCTCCTCCTGCCGCGACCCCAAAGCCGCTCCCGTTCCAAAAGGCCTCAGGGCCAGGGCGGCGAGCGGTGGGGAGAGCGTCCCTTGTGCGCTCGCGGCTGGCTTGGGCGTGCGCCACAGGACTGCCTGGCAATGCTTCCCCAAAGGCCCTGGGGGGCGCCCCCTCGTGCCTCGCCGCAGTTGCCGATTCAGCGCCTGGCTGCCTGGCACTGCGGAGAGTCTGCCCGGGCACCCGGGATCCTGGCTGGCTGATTTCTAAAAAAAGCCGTTGTGACCAATGGCAACGAATTGCATGCGTTGCTTAGGAGGACCCCCAGGGCGGTGGGGGCGCCTGTGCAAGAGCTCCAGTCGGCACTGGCTCCAGTTAAGGGCTGCCAGGAAGGCCAGCGGGCCAGCACGGCACTGGCGGCCCGGGCGGCCCGGGCTCTGTCGCAGAGCCGCTCCCTGCCTCCCAGTCAGCTCTGGCGGCTCAGGTTCATTCAGTGCCACCACAGACTGGCGCATAAAACACTCTCATTCCACACAAAGCATAGAATTGGCCCGACTCTCACAAAGGGCTAATGGGATCCCGGATTACAGGCCTTTTGCGGTCATGCTGTTGTGCCGAAAGTTTGTGGCAGGTCCCAGCCACTTCACAAAACCTCGTCCACCGTGCCTGTGATCTAAGGATGCTGATCCAAGAAAATACAGAACAGTAAAATTCCAGGGATATTTCGCAAATAGGTGTAATAAGATGGTGCATGTGACAGACTATGCCCAAGCAGGGGGGCATGAGCGCTCCACGCATGGAGCCTTCCCTCTAAAAGTTGAAGTGGTGAAACATCCCCTGTAAAGTCTTTTCGAAGTTAGGGGATTGCTAAATTGGATGCAGAATTTGTGGGCACAAGCAGCTTCCTCCAGGAAAGAGGAACGTCATAAGAAAATCGAATTGTTGTGTGTTTCTGCATCCCATAGCATTGTTCAATAGCTTATCCTTAAAGAATTCAAGGGCTGCCGAACTGCTGGCTGTAAACGTGGAATTTCTCCGCCAGGAGCCTCCTCGGTGTTGACCTAGCAGCATCTGCTAGGCTGCTGGGCCGCTGCACAAAGTTGGTGCCAGAGGGCCTCGGGCAAGTGCCGGACCTCCCGGGGACTTCAGGCCTGCCTGAGCGCAGGCGAGCGTGGCTGCCCTCGAAGGCGTGCTCTGAAGGCCCCTGGGGAGCCCGGAGCCAGCGCAAGGGCACCACCGAGGCCCAGGCGTCCGCCGGAGGGCAGACGGGGCTGCAGGGGATGCCCAGTTAGCTCTTTCAGGAGGGAAGAACAGGCAAGGCCCGGGCAGGAGGGCGGAGGAGCTGCTCCACGGCCCGGTTGCTTCCACAGATCGGCCCCCTGCGCTTGGCCTTCCCTCCGGCCGAGACCATCATTTCGGTCTTGTCTTGTCAGACGCACGTTAGAGCCCTTGACGGCTGCCTCTGGTGCTTCCCCTGTCTGGTGCCCTTCAGAGGTGCTGGAGTGCAACACCCATCCTCCCCAGCCCCCAGGGCCATTGAGAGTTGCAGTCCCACATGTCTGAAGGAGTCCAGTGGGGGAAGGCTCTGGTGCCTGTGCATGTGGACCTGTGGGCCCAGAATAGCCCGGAGCCGCGTGGCAAAAATGGCAAAGGCGGTTGTGAGGAGGAAAGCGGGTGCACCCCGCGTGCTGCTCATGCCTCTGGGGGCGCCCCGGGCAAAATGGCCAGCCATGGGGTGGGGGTGGTTCCAACATGTGCATGTGGACTTGGGATTGCCCCCTTCCGCCTTGAGCAGCAGTCCAGGCGAGGGTCTCGTCACTGGACTGCGCTTGCCAAGGGGGGTCACGGCAAGGCTGCCTCCAGGGCCCCACCCTGGCCCCCGAAGTCAATTCCCCTGCACTGGACCAGAGTTATGCCCAGGTAAGTGTCCCCGGACGGGAATGTGGCTTCCTGTCAGTTGAGCCTGATATTCTGAGTCCTGCACTCTGGGGGCGTCGAGAAGAGACCTACCCCTCTCTGGGGGCAGCCCTTCGAGGACGTGCCGAGTGCTCTCTCTCCCCTCGGCTTTCTCTTTGCAAGGCTGAGCCTGCCCAGTTCTCTCCACCGCTCGTCACGGCACTTTGCTTCCAGGCCCTGGATCGTCCTTGCTGCCTCCTCGGCACCCTTTCCAGCATCTTCCTTCCACTGGCGCCCAGAACGGGACCCATACCCCAGATGAGGCCTGACCAGTCCTGAGCAGAGGGGAACTGGGGCTTGGCGTGATTTGGAAGTGATACTAGAGTGGCACCTGCCGTTTGTGCAGCCACGTCACACTGTCAGCTTGCACTCGCTTGTGATCTGCGACGGCGAGGTCCTTCTCTTTTGCTCTCTTGTATTGTTGTGCCAAGCGTGGGGGCGATGCATGTCATTTCTGTTGCTCGGAACTCCAATAGAAGGGAAAAGCTGGGGCTGAGTGACTGACAGGGCCACCCACAAGTCCTGCGCCACCTCTTCCCCTGGGGCTGCGCTCGGGGGAAGGCAGAGTGCAGGGCACCGAATAACAGACTTAAGTTAAAAGAAGCCCGATTTTGACTAGACCCCAGGAAGAATCTCCCCGCTCTCAGAGCAGTGTGGCAGTGGGCCGGATCAGCTGGGGAACGTGTGGGCTCTCCCTCGCTGGAGACAGTCGGGAAGCCGCTCGGCAGCCCGCCGAGGGATGGGGTAGCTTGGTGTCCCGCAAGGCAGGCGTTGGACCTGATGGCCTTCGGAGCCCTTCCAGCTCTGCTCGCTGTGATTCTGCGCGTGGGACCATGAGACGCCGCTTCCAGTGCTGCCGGGCATTGCTGTGAAGACGTCTTCGTGGCTTTCCGTGGTCATGGCTGCTCTGTCCCTGCCCTGCCCCTCTTTTCTGCCTCTGGTGATGGTGCCGCTTGCACAGAAATTGCCCAGAATATGGGGGAGGGGGGAGGAGATGCTAATCATTCCCCCACCCCCAAAATCAAGGACTTCGTTCCACATAAACCCATGATCCTCTCCTGAGACTTTTCAGTGCTCCCTGTGCCATCTCCCCTCCTTAAAGGGACTGTCTACAAGAATCTGTAAGATTCTCTGCAGATCCCTCCTGGGAGGCCCTCAGAACAGCGAGCAGGCTCACACGCCGCAGTCCCCGAGCCCGGGCCACTGAGCCGGGCCGCCCCTTGTGTCGTGCTTGCAGCACCAAGCAGATGCTGGCGGACGTGATCCAGTCGCAGCCTGGGGAGTCCCTCGTGGAGGTCCTGCACACACCCGCCTCGCATGATCAGGTGGGTCCACTGTGCAAAGGCACCCGGCAGCACACGGAACCCGCGGCCAGAGGGCCTGGTCCTCTGGCTTCTCTGGCCTCGTGGGGACATCACGCCACACGACCACGGGGGCATGCGAGTTCGGCACCGGCGGCACCCAGCCGCTGCGGGAGGCTCCCCTCAAGGAGCCAGCAGTACGTGAAGCGGCCGCTCTGCTCTCCAGGAAACCTTCCACCAGCGCCTGATGAAGAGGAGGGCCGCCTGCAGCGCCCTGGTCCCAGACGGGGCAAGGCCCAGCCGCACCCTGGCCGCTGACGGCAGCCTGTCCCTGGAAGAGAAAAAGAGGACGGTCGTCCGGAACCTGCGGCACCTCGAGAGCCTGGGCCTGGTGAGCTCGGCCAGCCAGTATCAGAGCATTGTCAGCGAGATGGCGAAGGTGCGTGGGGCCGAGGGCAGCGCCCCAGGTGGGCCTCAAGGCCAGCGGGGGGGGGGGGGGGGGGGCGGGCCGGGCCCGGGGGGGGCGGAGGGGGGGGGGGGGGGGGGGGGGCGGGCAGCGCAGGGCCCGAGGGCAGCGAATGACAGGCGGGGGGGCGCACCGAGCCAGCACCGCCCTGCGGGAGGGCAGCTCGGAGGCCGAGCCCAGGCTGCCTGGACGGCCCTCTTCTGGGGGCTCGTCCCGGAACATTCTGCGGGGGCAGCTTGCCCCTGACGAGCGCCCCACGCCATCCACGCCTGCGCATGCGTGGCCCTGGCCGAGTCAAGCGCCGCGTCTCGCACCCCGCAGGACATCTGCCGGCAGCGGCAACTCCGGCAGCGGCGCAGGGCGGATCGGGAAGAGCTGCAGCAGGCCCTGCGCGGGCTTGGCGCCAAGAGGGTGTTCCACGAGGAGCAGATCGACTACTACAGCCGGTACCTCCAGGCGTGCCTGGCCGGCCTGGCCTCCAGAAGCAGGTACGCTGCCGCGGCCCCCGCCCCCATCAGCGGCAGGGCCCCCGGCTGCGCCCCTGTGCCACGGCGAGGAGAGGGTCCTGGCGAGATGAACCCGCCTGCCTGCTGCCAGTGGGCTTCTGACGACCTAGGGACACAGGCAGCTTGGGGGCCAGAGGAAGAGCTGTTTTCTTTACAAGCGTTTACCGTTGTAACTTAGGAATTAGCAGATCCTTGATTCTGTTTCGTTTCATTTTGAGCATGCATCAAGCACTATCAGGAATATATTTTGAGAGGTAGCCTCTGACATTTGCATGTTTACTGTCTGCCCAGGAAGCAGGACACGGGAAATCCTCCCACTGTCCCAGAACTTGCAGGCTTCTTGCTACCACTCAGTGCAGACCAGACCGGGCAGGGTGGACCCCTGGCCCGGCCCGGCCTGGCCTGCCTGGCCTGCATTGCCGGCGGAACTGCAGGGTCGGAACAGCAGAGGATCGTCAGGTGTGCTAAGGACCGGCCAAAGCGCCCAGGCTTAATGGGCGCTGGGCACAAACGCTTCTGCGAGGACAGCGCTGTCTTTTGGCACCAGGAGGCTCTTGGTTGCGTTTGCTGCAGCCACTGCCCTTCGGGAGTCATGGAGAAAGGAAGGGCCTAGCCAAGGATCCGATTTCCTCCATGGCTCCTGGGGGGCTCCCCTGCCCGTTGCCCCACAGCTCAGCAGCTGGGCTGCTTCGGTGCGTGGAGGTCCCGCTCGAGCAGCCCTGGGACTCTGCCAAGCTCTCCAGCATCGCAGATTTCTCTCTGGAGCAAACAGGCAGTGGCGCCAACGACTCGGGAGGTTGCAGCCCCTCCCACCCCAGAGGCTTGCAAGGTGCACCCGAGGGAGGACTCGGCCGGGAGCCCTGCTCTGAGTTGGGGTCTGGGCCCAGGGGCGCTCTGACCCCTTCCCACTCTGCTGTGCTGTGCTTGGCCTGGGCAAGCCCGCTGCATCTACGCCGTGGCGGCCAATTCTGTGAGCCAGCCGGGCACTGTGTGAAGTGATGCTGTCATTTGAGTCACCTTCGCTCTACGGGGTGACCGGAGCTTCAGCGTTAGGAGAAAGGAAGAAAGAAAGACGCCAGCACCCTGCCTTCCCCTGAACAAACTGAACGAAATACAACACAGAGCAGCCCCGAATGCCGTCGCTTCCCTCTCAGGGGAGCTGCTCCGTGGTTGTCTTCTCCATCTGCTCTAGCCACACACGGTCCTTCTTGAGATGCAGTGACTGGAAAGGTGCACCAGAACGTTTTCCTTGCGTGCATCGTAACAGCTTTCTGGAACTGGTGGTTCTTGGCAGTTCCTCTCCTAATCCAGATACACTGGGAGTGAGGAGAGCGTGTGTGAGAGCACAAAACTGGGCAGGGAAAAGCTGCTTCTAGAAAGAGCTCCTCCCCCTCCCAGTAAGTGCTGCCTTCTGCTCCTGTCCTTCAGGCCCCGCAAGAAGCAGGCGATGCGGCGCTACACAGCAGCCCAGCTCTCCGAGAGGGGTGTCTTGCTGGAGATTGAGGGCCTCCCTGCCAGCCAGTAAGTCCGGCGCTCCAACGCCTCCCGCAGGTGAAGCCGGCTTTTCCCGGGGCAGCACCTTGGTGCTTGTGGGAGAGACAGCTCTGAAATCCGCTGCTCCTGCTCCAGAAACGGGCACCCCAACAGAACCCCAGAATTGGACAGTGTGCCCTTGCCAAACTGGCGCTTGCCCTTCCCCGTCTCTCTGCTGAAATAAACCCCAGGCCTTCCCATGCTGCGGGAGGCATGAGGGCAACAGGAACCGCGTGCAGCAACCTGGTGAGGGGCCTGGGCCAGAGGGCCTCAGCTGAATACAGCGGGCGCTATCCTGCACCGCCTGGCACAGCTGAGAGCATCTTGGGTTTCTGACCCCCACTTTGCACTTTGCTTTCATGGCTTTCAAATTTCTACCCTTTTTCCCAGATTCAGAAATGTCATATTTGAAATTGTTCCCTGTGGGGAAGCTGGTGAGTTCCAGGTGAAAGCAAAATTTATGGGAATCGATATGGAGAACTTTAACCTCCACTACCAGGTGAGCAACTTGCAGTGTCTCTGGCACGGTTCTCGTTTCTGTTGCGCCTGTCGTCCAGGCAGCATCCCCGCTGCAAGAAGCTAGCTGCTGCTGGAAGGTGCTGCCAGGGCAAAACTGTGGGCAGGAGAGCTGAGGGAGGAGAGAGGGCGGAGAAAGGGGCGCCCTGGCAGTGAACGAAGAACGGTGGGGCTGGCCCCTTCGGCTACCAGGATTAGACCCGCCTGGCCTCAGCGGGGCCTGGGGCTGTGTTCATGCAGGTTTTCCCCGGAACAGTGGGGAAGGCTGTGCTACCAGGCTTTGCTGGAAAAGCAGGGGCTTGGGGAGGGGGGGAGGGAGGGGCGTTTGGGGACTTGGTGGGAGGCATGTGGGCAGCAAAGGAGGAGCTGGCGTCCTCTGAGAAAGGGAGAGCTCCGCCTGGGCAAGCTGCTGGGACTGGAGGGCACGAGCCTGCCGGCAGGTGCTTCCACGTGCGTGAGCGGAGGGGTGGGGGCGCAGCGCCCTGCGCTGGCAGCTGGCAGCACCCTCTGCTCCCCACCACTCCCAGGATCTCCTGCAGCTCCAGTACGAGGGCGTCGCCGTCATGCAACTGTTTGGCAAGGCCAGAGTCAACGTCAACCTGCTCATCTTCCTCCTCAACAAGAAGTTCTTCCAGAAGTGATGTGGGCAGGCCAGGGGGAGGAGACGTGCCCGGAGCGCCTTGCCCCAGGGAGCGGGCTGGTAGCCTGAAGGGACAGCAGCGCTTTGGACCAAGCGCAGCGCTGAGCCCCCGCTGCATCCCGCTCCCCTCCGTAGGCCTCGCGGCTGCCTCCTTCACGTGCTCCTCTGCAGGCCAGGCGGGTTCCGAGGCGGCTGGGCAGGTCCTTCGCCCGGGCCGCCCCTTTTCCGCGCACAAAACACTGGTGGCGCATCCTGCCACGGCTGCCCCCAGAGGAGGCGTCCTGCCGCCAGGCTTCGGGCGGATCCGCTGCGGAGGGGGAGCGGGACACCTGGGACTTTGCCGCCCACGTGCTCCAGCCTGAGCCTGGCCACCTGTCCACACCGCAGGCACCTCTGTCCTCGCGTTCTGTGCCCTCGCAGCAGCTTCGGGGAAGGAGACCAGCCGCCTGGCATGGGTCAGCCTGGGGGCACGTGCAGCCAAAAGCGGTCGCTGCTCCAGGAGCCTCCGCCCTGCTGACTGCTGCTCCTGCGCCCAGCAGGGCCTCTGGCACCATCCCCTCCTCCCGGCGCCTCCCCGGCTTTCCCTGAGGCCGCACCCAACGTGCTCCCTGCAATTCACGTTGCAGGTGCCAGGCGACCCTTGGGATGCTCTTGTAAAATATCAGACATTTAGGACATGTCCTTGACCTCTAGAAATTCCTGCTCTGTATCAAAACATGGACACAGGCGAGTTTGATCATGAGACACAGAGGTAGCACCGCTGGTTGCTTTTTGTCATTATTAAGGTTGTTTCAAATCTACTTAACTCCCATCTAGCAGCCTTTTTATTTGGTTTGTGAAATCCTTTGGCAGCAGAATCCTCACATCTGCTGAAGGATTCCACTTTGGGTTTTATTGTACTCTGTATTCAAGAGATTTGACAAATATAATTATATTTAATTTTGGGTATCGTGATTAGTTTCAGTAGTTTCAGAGAGGAGAGGTTAGAGGCCAAGAACCCAGAGGAGCAACAGGCAGGAGGGCAGTTCCGTGCCGCTGCGGCTGGGCAAGGAGACCCTCTGTAGAGCATCATTGTGGGTATCCCAAAAACGAGGGGCACAAGTGTTTTCTGATGTGGTCTTTCACAAAAGTCATCTGTGGAATGTTCAGGACAGATTTTCAGTTCTGTGGAAAGTTCTGTTCTACAAACCCCTGTAGAATTTATTGTCACAAGCTGCTGGTGCATGATGGGTTTGAACAAGGGTGAGAAACGTTCATGGGAAGGGAGAAATCCACAGGCAGCTAGAAGTCTGTGGAGTAAAATGGAGCCAATCTGTCCAGTGCAGCCGGCAGCTGGCATGCCCTCATTACCTGAGCGCCACGTCCTCCCACAGCATCTGACCGGCAGCCGCTCTTAGCCACCAAACACTGGATTAGACGGACCCTTTGGTCTGACCGGCTGTGCTCCTCCGACAGTCTTAATACTCAGGCCATCTATTGGCATCTGGAGTCTGTGGGCTTGGATGCCACCCACATCTATTTCTTTTCTTTCCTTGGGAGCAGTAATCATAGAGTTTACATATGTTTTCTTACTCTTCATGGCTTAATTTGTGTCTGTCTGACTCTAACATCCAATTGCAAGAGTAGCTTTTGCAGACATGGGAAGGTTTTAAAAATAATTGGCGCCAAAAGGCAGTATAGCAAAGGTCCTTCCATTAGGTGGCATCAGCATCTAGGGAACTGGAGGACGGGATTACATCCACTGCCCAGACACGCCCTTGCTTGGCAGCTGGCAGTCCAAAGAGCCCTGTCCTCCAGGTGGGAGGGGCAAGGGAAGAGTGGGGGCTGTGTTTCCAAGAAGGGGTCCCAGGGCATCGCTGCACGGCAGCCCTCCTGAGGGCTGGGAGTGCAACTCCCATCATTCCCAGCTGGCAGAGCCCACAGACAGGGTGGTTTGGGAGGGTGGGGGGTGCAGCTGAGCACAGCGAGGGGAGCTGGGTTGGGGAAGGCTGGCATAGCATTGCCTCCCGGCAGCTGACAGGAATACAGGCCGCATGCTTGGAAAGGCGGTGGGAAGCAGCTGCTGGTCAAGCCAGACCATGCTGGGCCCAGTGGGAGCCAGGCCAGCCCAGCCCTCGCCCCCCAGCAAAACACTTGCCGGTGGTGCCAGGCCCGAGTCTGGCGGCGGCAGCATCTCCAGGGAAAGGAAGGCCATGTCAGATGGGGCTGGCCAGAGCTGCAGAGATTAGCATGGAGGTCCACAGACGAAGATCTCAAGTCATGGGCTGCGGAGAGCGCTGACCAGAGCCGGCTGGGCAACGTGGGCCTCCGTGCTTTGTCTCGGCCAGTCCCTGGTGTCTCGGGCTCAAAGGGTTGGCGACGGGTCGCTGCACTGGGAAAGCCCTTGCCCACCGGCCGGACTCAGTGCAGTGCAGCACAGACGTCCCCAGGGGCCTTGGTCCTGCCTCTAAACCACCTCGTCGTTGGTACCAAGGAAATGAGATGTTCTGTGATTATGGGGCAACCGGCACGTAAGCGTCAATCATGGAACAATTGTCCATGCCGAGCAGGGCCGTTAAAAAGCCTGCACCTCCCGGTCTGCAGACTTGGGAGCTCCGGTTCATTCCATTTGCTTTGGATGCACCAAACTAGCAGGTCAGGCTGTCTCTCTGCATGTGAGGAACAAACCACACATGCATGTGGGAGAAAAAACTGGCGCCATTCCCACATCCAGCCTGCCCCACAGAGCCACAGGCCTTGGGCAGCGGGAGGCACAGCGCCGGCGGGCTTCAGCAGAGGACCCTTGCGTCCGCGTGCGGTGAGGAGCAGGCGGGGGGCCCAGGAAGGGGGGCCCCCTTGTCTCCCCAGCCAGGAGAGGGGCTTCCTTAATTAGCGTCTCCCGATGCAGCCCCCCCCCCCCCCCCCCCCCCCGTTCTGCAGCAGACACACATGCGCGAGAGAGCCTCTGGATCTCTGCAGAGCCCCAGGCCACGATCCTCTCATGCAGGGCAGTGCACCCCTTCCAGCAGCCCCAGAGGGGGGTGAAGAAAGTAGCCGGCTCCTCCTGGGCACCCCACTGCAGCCATGCAGGCTCTGCTGAGTCCGCCAAGGGGCACGAGGAGGCTTCTGCCCAGGCAGGGGCCGCCGGCCTGGGCCGCCACATCTCAGAGCAGTGCTTGCCAGGAGGGGGGAGAGCCATCCCTGCATCACCTTGCTCCTGCCTGCCCTGTCCCCACCCCCCAGCCTTCCCAAACTGCCACCTGCAGACAGGCTCATCCAACCCCAAGGTGTCCCTGCAGCGCCTCCTCCAGCACCGCCGCGCTGCTTCGGGAGGAGTTCCCCACCCTCCAAGGCGGGGGGGGGGGCACAAAGGCACGGGGAGGCGCATGCAGCGCGCTGGAGCCATGGGACCCAGCCTGGGCCGGGCAGGGGCAGAGCTGTGGCAACACCCATTCCCCGGAGATGCGCAGATCCCCCAGCTGCAAAAGTCCCTCAAGCATTCAAGGCCTCGAGGTCTATGGAAGAACTGCTCATCTTTGATTTCTTTGGTTTTTTTCATAGAATGGCCTGATGTGGTGTAACGTCACGCAAAAGAGTCTACAGGCCCATGGATGCGCGTCCTGGGCAGTCCTCCACTTCCCGAGGGCCAGATGCCACTCGCACCCCCAAACCCCGCCAAGCCCATCTGCTCTGGGCTGCCCCCACGGCGGCCCCGGCTGGTTTCTTCCATGCCGGCATCTACCACCAGCGCCGCCTCTGTGGCCACATTTTAGGAACCACAGACGAGGTGGTTCCGCTGCGCTGCTCCTTGCCTGCCCGTCAAAGGCCAGTGCACCTCCCCCGCCCAGACCGCCCCCCCATGCGGGCCTGCTTGGCACGGTGCGCCAGTGCCAAGCAAGAGGCGGCACTGCCCATTGCCACGCGGCCCTGAGCAACACTGCTGTTCTCCTGCAGTTGCCCCAGTGCCTCTCTGCTCGCCTCAGGCTCTCCCGTAATGGGTGGCGTGAGCATGAAGTGCTTCAGGCGGGGGGGGGGAGTGGGCAGAAGGGCAGGAGCTCCAGACACGGGCGTGGGGAGGCGCATCTGCCAGGCCACAAGGGGAAGGAGCCATCCAAAAGTGGGCCTGGAGGGAGCCCCTCCTGGCGGGGAACGGGGTGCTTTCTGGAAAGGCTTCGCCAGCGCAATGCTGGAGGCCAGCCAAAGTGCCAGCGGCCCCTGAGAGCCAGGCTCAAGCCGCTCCTCTGCTGGAAACCCCAGCTGGCTCTCGGCGGCCTCCTCCTCGTACAGAAGGCCCCCCCCGCAAGAGGGGGATAACAGCGGGTGGCTGGAGAAGGCTGTGGGGCACATCAGCAGAAGTGGTGGGTTTTGAGCAGCTTTTGGAGTCTTTTTCTGGGACTCTGGGACCCTTCGCCATAGGGGGGCCTGTGGCAGTGGGTCAGCTATGGGGGCTCAGCTCTGGTAGCCCAAGCCTGCCTGACATCCAGTTCTCCTGATCCCGGCTGGCTCCCTGCCCAATCCTGCCTGGGGCTGCCCCACAACCGGTTCTGAAAAGATCCACTTGCTGCCTGTCAAGTACCGCTCGCCCCCCCATATGGGCCAGCTGCTCCTTCACATGGACTGAGGCTGCCCCACGTCTTCCAGCGACCCATTCACAGACACACAGGGAAAAAGCGTCAGGAGGGGACTCAGGCCTTCTAGTCTGACCCCTGGATCCAACCGGCTCCACTCATGTATTCCCCCACATGTGGTTATCCAATCTTTATTCCTGGCACGTTCCCAGCTCACATGGACTACCCCTTGCCCAGCTCAGTAGTCATTTTCCCATGCAGATGTGGGCAGCAAAGGCCCTACATTTTCACCACTTAGCCTTTTTCTTGATGGTCTCAGGGAACCCTGCAGCCTCCTGATGTGGCCAGGCGTCTAGACGGCGTTGATCGGCCTCATCAGGTAGTTTTACCAATGTCACCAGTCCTTGTGGCAGTAGTCAGATGCTCAGCTCGGAAACGGTGGAGCGAGGGAGAG